ACTTTGATCTCAATTAAGTCAATTTCAATCAATTGATTTGTCTGAATAAAAAAAACTACTCGTTCAATTCAAATTAAAAGTCGATAAATAATCAATTTAATTCAATTATGTAAGGTAATTTCTCATTTGATTCTAATTGATAATCTTAATCGTTTTCAAACAATTAACTTTAGGGTACAAATTGATAAAATTTATCGTCTTAATTATTTCATTCACCTTTGCTGACCTTGCATCCATTATAATCAGAGGTTAATTGTTATGATTAAATCTAATAATACAATATATTAGCTTAATTTTTAGGATTTCTAAGTTAAATTGTTGCCATGTTTGTTTTTAATTGTGATTTAAATACTTGATGCACTTGAAGATAATCAGCAGATTAAATATTATATCCTCTTAATTTGATAATCATCTCACGTAAATTGTTGCAAACAATAATAAGATAATTAAATCAAGCACAATATTAATATTGTTAATCAACAAAGATAATAACAAACAGAGTTAATTGTTACAATTTAATACAAGAAAAATAGTACGAAAAGTAAAAAAAAACATAATCATCACCATGTACCAACTAAATTGTTGACCACTGAGATAATTAAATTGGACAATCAAATGTAATTAAAAATTAAATCTTAAGGTTAAGTTTAATCCCTTCAATTATAATTAACAATTACAATTGTTACCAAATTAATCTGAGCTAATTAATTGATCAGATGAATTTAAACTTGGTGATCAAGATCAAGTTTAAATGATTTGTTTTGATTGTGTAATTTTCAAATTTCTGGTTAATTGTTGCAATGAAAATGAAGTGAAATTTTTCCTTGAGAAAGTTGATTGTTACATGAAAAGTTAATTCACTTCAAGTAATTTAAAACTACTGATCATCATCATCATCATGTTGATTATATGGTGACGATTCTGAAGGCTTAGGAAACAACAACAACAACAACAATCAGTTAATCAACTGGCAAATTAACGGGAAAATTTAAGTTACATGGTAAAAGTTGATTCGTTTTTCAAAAGTTCATTGAGTTGGTATATCAACTTGAGTTAATTGTAGTTTTTATGATTACTGTTAATGATTTGATTCCAATGAATTAACTTTCGCTTTTATTCAAGTTATTGTTTCCTAATTAACCTTGAGTAGTAGATGATTTTAATTGTGCTTTTTTAACCATTTTTTGTTCATATTAATTGTTGCTAATCATCATCACCCATTAAAATGGGAACAAAGCAATTCTAATCAACACAACTAGAGATTAGTTAATCACGATTATATTGATAATGGTAAATGCTGGTCAATGGTCACTTTCTGATCGTAATCATCATTAACGTTAATGGTGAAGAAAAAACAAATTAATAGTAATCATTATGATACAACAATTAACTCTGACCAACAGTTATTTTCATTGTTTTCATTAAATTATCATTGTATTTATAAAATATAATATTTTTCCAAACACTGACAACAATTAAAACTTGATTAGGTTGATTAAAATACGTGATAATGATTAAATTTGATAATATTAATCATTGATTGTTGAATTTGATTTGGTCATCAAATGTATTCATTGTTAATGAAAACTTCAATTGATGATTAGATTTATTTTGCTTTTTCGCCTGAAAAAATGAGTAATTAAAGATAATCAAACAATTTAAACAACAAACAATCAATTGATTTACAATTAAGGATGTAAATTGTATAATCTTTCAACAATTTAGTTGTAAGTGTTAATTTAAATTGGGTGAGGTTGTTGTTGATTTAAATTGTTGGTTAAGATGACGATGATTATGATGAGCGAGTCAATGAAAAGTTAAATTGTTATCATTTATATTAATTGAATTAGTCGATGATTTTTAAACCAGTTTCAATTGTATTTACTTTAATCATGATGATTATTATTAACGTTATGATTTAAATAGCTAATTGTAGGATTTGTTCAGTTTTAATTGTTTACCTTCCGTCTTTTGTTGATTGTGATGGTTTAAAGGGACAATTAAAGTAAACTTTGATTACTTTTGTGATGATCGTTTTTTATTATGAAAAATTATGATCATCATCTTAATCATCGTCAACACAATTAACTTAATCAAAAGTCTTTTGTGTCATTGTTAACATTTAAATTAAAAATGAATTTCAATGTAATTTATATAATATCATCATCTTCATGATAACATCATGATTAAGTTGATTATTATGATTTTTTATACGGAAGGTTAATTGTTTGAACTGACCAAGGAAAAGATAAATGGGAATTACAATATAAATCTATTGATGAAAACAAAAGGAAACAGATTAACAATTAGGAGATCAATTGGATAATCAAGGAATTAAGGAAACAATTAAATCAATTTTTCTATCCAGATTAATATTAGATTAACAAGAATAGGAAAATTTTGATTGTAAATCTTTACGGAAATTTGGATTATCACAATTAAGGGATCACTTTTGTCGAGGTAAATTTGGTTTAATCAATTTAGGGAAATATAATATTATTATTACAATTAACTAATCGATTGTGTTAACCATGATAATATCAATAAGGTTAGCGATTGTTACAATTAAGTTGATCATCTGTGAATGAATTATTGTAATTTGATGAAAGAAAAAAATTAATTGATGATAAACAGGATGAAGATGATTAAGAGAATCGCGAGAAATCAAATTAACAGGTAAGATTAAATTGCTTCAAGCCTTAAGGTCAATCAGGTTGAAATAATTTCGCTTCCCCATTGACCTGAGTACATTATCTGGATTAACTGATTGTTAGGGAATCATCTTGATTAACTTTTCAATCAATAATGATTAAAACTAACGATTATGATTATGATTATTATGGTGATGGTGATATTGATTAAGTGGAAAAGGAAATCAAATTAAATCAGTTATCATTATAATTAGTAAGTATTTGGAAAGCAACGCCTTGAGAGGATTGAAAAATCAACTAATCAAAATAGTGATTAAAGTAAATCAAATAATATGACCGGAGGCAAAACGTTAATTGTTGATGAGTATTAAATGACGATTAATATAAATTGCTGGTTAATCCTATTCATTGGATATCAATGATTAACTGAACAAGTATTGGAAATAATTTTTACAAGAATTGAAAAAAAATAAAACCTAATCATAATTATCTTAAAATAATAATAATCAATAGATGAAGATGATTATTGATTGATAGTTAATCAATAAACAATTAAATCTCATTCATCTCATTGATTGTTGAATAACTTATTCCGATGGGAAAATGAATCTCATTTTGATCAACAAGAATCAAGATTCATGAGATGAAACTTTTTTCTGATTAGATTGTGATATTTAATTTCTGCAAACAAAGAAACTGTTTAATCACAATTTAACCTGGTAATTATCATCTAAATTGTCCGGAGATAATCTTAATTTCAAGCCGTTTATCATGCAATGTTTAGTTAATCATCAACACAATTAACATCCGCAGACGGATTAATCAAAAATAGTTTGTTCCAGATTCAAGTTTAATCATATTCTCATTTTTTTTATATAAATATCGTTGATTGTGATTCATTTGAATGTGTTGTTATTAGAAATGATGTTGATTACTACAATTAGATAACAATTTGATTCTTAAATTGTTGTCAATTTACAACTTCCATTGAAAACGATCATTATTTTTTCTTGGACAATTCAATCACTTTTTTTTCACCTTAAATTAAATGGTTAATTTTTAATTGTGTTGAAAAAAAAAGCTTTTGATTATCATTGTGATGATTAAAACGAAAGATAGAAACTAATTTGAGTGATTTAATCCTAATTGTGATTTATAGCAAATCTATTAATAGCTTTTGGTGTTAGCAATTAACTTAAAGGAAACAATCGTCTTCAATTATAATCAATAGATTGACAATTGATTTTTTTTCCTTGATTCAAATTATTGATCATCTTTTTTTTGGTTACTCTTTAAATCATCAACTTGATTTGATTTGATTTGATTTACTTTTCATTAATTTGATCTAGAATGGGATTAATAGGTAAGGTGGCAGTTAATTGTTTCTAATCCTATTTTTAGGATTAAAAAGGTTAAATCATGTTAACAATTATCCAATTTTAATTGTAATTCAGTTGATGAGTTGAAAAATTTATGGAAAGTGAGAGTTACATTATTGTTTGATTGTTATCAGTTAATTAGATTACTATTATTATGGTAACATGATCAAACCAATTGCAATCAATTCTTGACCCATAAGCATTTAAATCAACTCGTTAATTGTGTAACTATTTATCAATCAAATGAAGATAATCGTTAATCATTTGCATGGATAAATATACATGTTGGTATTAATTAAGAACCGGGATAACAATTAGAAGCACATTTATGAATATGATTAACGATATTAGGAAATTGTAATCTAACCTTAACTTCAGGAAAACTAAATAAACTTTCAATTGAATTATAATTACAATTGAATGGAAAGCTGAAAATTTTTCAAACAATTGAACATTTTTCACATTAACAATTAGATTTAATCATAATCATAACCACTTGATTAAAAATAAATCAACTTAATTTGATAATATCATCACTTTGTGTATACATAATATCCTATTTAACAGCAGAAGGATATGAAAGTTATCAAGAGTTAATTGTTATAACAATTTAAATGTGAAAACAAATCAACATTAAGTAACTTGATCATCTTAATCAATATATTGAGAAACATTATGATTAACAATTAACAATCTAAATTCAGTATTCTATATACAAGGTTGTGGGCTTAATTTTTGTGTGTGAATGATATTGATGAAGAATTAAAAATAATCACAAACAATTGAGATAAATTGTTGTAACAATTAACTTGAAATGAGATTAAGAAAAAGTTGTTGAGATTTACAAGTAAAGCGAAAGTTTTACCCTGAGTTTGGGTAATTTAATACGGGCGACAATTAAATTACAATTAGGGTTGTTCATGTCAATGATAATGCTACTGATTAATGAGAAATTTAAATTGTTACTTACAATTAAAGGCTTGAAGCCAACCACAGATATGGAAGACAGTTGATGAATGAAGGAAAAAGAAGAGGATAAATGAACATAGACAAAGGCTAATGATGACCACCGATAGTCCGACAAATACTGTCGCCGCTCTGAAGGCTGGTGTGGGTATTGAGCCGATGTCATCTAGTCGACCTTCACAGATTAGATCTTGACCATCTTGAAGAAGACGACACGACCTCCAAAGGCCAAAGTAACCGGTCCCCTTACTGGTCTCGGTGTCCCCGAGCCATTGGGGTTGAACGAAGACTACAAAGTTAATTATAGCGTAACACATGGTGAAAACTGCCCATAGAACTCCGATTGCTCGAGAATTTCTCAGATAATTGGCCTGGAAATGGTAGTAATTAAAATGTTCCGGTGTTCCTGGGTCATATAAGATTCCACCGGGGCTTCCGTTCCGTTTACTTGGATCCATTTTCTGTTGATGATTCTTGGTTATGGTTCAATTGTAAAAGTCTTTTCTTCAAGAGAAAACAATACCTTCGCTTAACAAGGTAACTGATTGTAATGATTTGATGACAATCAATTAACAAGGATTGTTAATCTTATTTGAAAGTGTCAACTAATTAATTGTCAACAATTTAATATCTAAAACAAAACACAGAGAGTGACGATGATCAGGTTACTATTAATGTAAGGATTCCGTTGATTTCCTTTGTTTTTGATTAGAAGGTGAAAAGTTTTCATCACATAACCAATTAGAATTGATAATCTACTTATTCACTTGATGAACAATTGGTGTTGACAATTAATCAGGTAAATCCAATCAATGGTTGACAATTAATGTTAATTGTTAGTCCAAAATGGAGGTTAAACTTTCACAACGAAAACACCAAAAACTAACTACAAACAAGCAAATTAAAGGTAAGAAATTGTTTGTCTGTTCAACTGTTGAACAAGATGTTGTGTTCTGTTGTTGTTGATGGTGAGATGATGATGATGATGATGGAAAATGGAAGATGGATGATTGAAGATTAGGGAGATGCAAAAGTTCAGGTAAAGTTGTTTGTTGACTTGATCAACAATCAACAATTAACAAACCGGTTGGTTTAATTTTCGTTGAAATTTTTTACCTTTCACCCTACGAGTCGCCATCTATTGGTACTAATCATTAGCTTAAATTGTCCGTCTAAATGTTTGGGGAAAAAATTAATCATCACTATTTAGTTGATTGGATAATGTGTGAAAATTAAAGTAAGAACATATGATTCGTTGGTAAATCAAGTCAATGGTAAATCAATTACCAGTTAGATGTCAAATGGTTTAATTGTTGACATTGATTCTTGTTTATTTTTTTGTTCAAGAGTCACAATTATCTAATTTATTGTAGGCTTAAAATGTCAACAGATCCATCGTTTAATTTGAATTCTATTGATTCACCATCGATTCGACCTTCATTTCCTTATATTCCGCCATATGGATCGTTTCATAGCCCATCGAATATTTTTCAACCATCAACACCACAACCATTGGGAGCTCCAGTCTGTCTAAGTGTCGAAGATTTTGTACAATTGGTGGTTCAGAATTCGAGTTATTATGAACCGAGATATGGGCCAATCTATTCGAGTCCATCGATCAATCCTCTTCTCACATCTAGAACATTATCAACAGGCTTTTCTAGTTATTTGAACGCTCTCGAACAAGCATCTCAAGCACCGACTTATATAAACGATTCTGGTCTTATTGAACAGCCTCAACTTTTCCCCACAATCTCAACGACCTGTCCACACCCTCAGAGTTTTGGTCCAGTGCCAATAAACCAACACTTATCATTACCACTTTTCTCGAGTCCTCGAGGTGTTTCTTACATATCAACACGCGAAGGTCGATCGCCTCCCAATATGAGAATATTACATCCGATTTACTATTTGGACCAACTTGCGGCTGCGATTGGAGTAAAAGATTACGATTTGTTTCGAAAAGCAATCGAAAAAAAAGACAAAAAAGATGATGAATTTCTGGAAAAGTGTCTTTATTATAAACGTCAAAAAGAAGCAGCTGATCTCGACAATTCCACAGTGTTTATAAACGATGGTAGTACTTATCAAATGATACAAAGAGATGAACCGCTGACTTGGAAACAATGGATAGATTTCAAGATGCGAGCGATTAAACTGATATCAACAAAAACTGATAGTAAATATTATTATTGCAATTGTATCTTTTGTCTATCAGCTGGAGTTCAATTTATTTCGGTTCAGTATAATTCCGTTTTCAACCATATCCTGAGTTGCGAACGTATTCATGCCAAATGTACACAATGTTATTCGACTCATGTTAGCGAAAAATCTGTTATTAGACATAAATGTCGGAAGAAAATGCGAACACATTAGTAAATTATAATCTTCAGAAATTTTTCGCTTCATTTACACTTGAGAATCAACCACATAGTAATCACGATCTTATTATAATTAATAAAACCATTGACCTTCATTGATCATTCATTTGATATTCAACAAAAAGTATCAAATCAATTCAATCTTTTTTTCACACTGGTTGCTGATTATTAATGATGATGAAGAGACGTTAAGTTGATTGTTTTAGAATTGATCGATAACCAAACCAGCGGCCACAGTAGCTCCTCGATACCGAAGCATAATTCGTCCGAGATCTTTGTATTCTGAATAAAGTTCAATGGAAATCGGTTTGGATGTTTCGATTTCGACGATTCCACTTGAATTTGCTGCTAAACATCGAGGCTTTGTTTTGGTCACTCGTCCAGTGCTTTTGTCCAATTGTGAAATCAATTTACTGATTGTCGCTTGTTTCTGCAAATTTTTACAATGTAACACAACTTGAAAACCCTGAAAATATAAACAAAAAACAAAGATTAACAAACTATTAAATAAATCACAATCTCGATGCCGATCTTACCCTTGTTAATGGAATCTGAACATTAGCAAAAACTACGACTTTGGCCTGGAAACGAGTTGTAACAGGTGATGGAACAGATATATCACATAATATATCACCCGAGGCAATATTAGTTGCATTACATCCTGTCAATGTTAGAGTTATTTGATCACCAGCAAATGCTTGATTAAAGAGGCAATCTTCAATTGAAATAGCTAATTAATGAGGGAAAAAGATTAATAGAAAAAGTTAAATTTAGAAATAAATCATCGATGTAATCAAAACAATGACGAAACTTTCTGTTAAGCCTCAGTCAATCCTTTGAAAACATCACTGATACTCAAACGCAAAGGCTTAGACACAGGCCTTTCTGATGCTTGAAAAGAATCTAAGCAATTGGTAATAATAATAATGATGCATGTAAGTAATTAAGAGATGGTCATTAATTGTACCGAAATTATGGAAATTAAATACACACCGATAACTTCAACGAGAGATAGACCCGAATACCATAAAGTTAAGGAAACTAAGGAAGGGATTGTTGATCGTTCGTTGAGATTTTCTCCCGTTTTCTCACGTTGCAAGGCACTAAAGTATTTCATTTTTGTGCTCCGTTCATTTCTCTAATTATCGACATGTTATCTGTCAATAATTGCCATGAAAATCACTAGCCAACTCATTGAGAGCCAAAAATAGTTTTTTTTTGCTAATTACATGTATTAATGCTATTTATTCAGATGAATTGGACAATTAAAGACCATTTGATAATGATAAAATTATGTTTGGTTAATTGAGTAAATTGTGACTAATGTGTTAGGTGAATAATGAGCTTTGTTCGGAATTTAATTGTATTTGTTCATTTATGAATCGATTTCCGCTAGAATTTGTATAAAAAGAAATAAACTTCGATGAATTTAAAGCTTGTTCAGTTTCTCATTGTGGTAATTGCTTTAATTGGAATTACTTTGGCAGGTCGAGATAAACGATACGGACCCGACGCGTACAAGGATGACTTGTCTAACAGTGTATGTTTTGGCTGTCTTGGCGGCGAAATAAGCTAAGCTCGCTTCTCAGGATGACCTTTACGATGCTAGAACTTCCAAGTCAGATGAAACGGTTAAATAAATGTATTGAATAATCATGAGCTGATAATGATAATTAAATAGAATAATTTCTAGAATTTAAATGTTTCTTTATTAATATAATTGATGTAATAATAATTCACTTTATTACTTTAATATATGACTTTTATCTTTTAATTGAAGAGAAGGGGAATATCATCCCAACTGATTATACAGCCGTGAAAATTGAGTTTGTGCTTTTCATTTTTTTCATTTGAGAATCTTGATCGATAAAAGAAAATTAATAGATAAAAATGTAGGGTTATGAGTGAAATTTCATTGATGTAATGGTAGCTCATTCTCTCTATTTTAATAATTAACTAGTACAGAGGTGATTTCACTTAGAGAAAGTCAGTCCTCAAAGTCTCCATCTAACGGTAAAAAAAAGAATATTATTTCCGTAAATTCATTTATTTAATGAAACCACATTTATCGAAACAATTAGTTATTGTTAATTGTGTGACACTTTCCCAAGCTTCAGATGACCATTCAACTACATGTAATAAATTAATTGAATTGAGAAGTTCATTTACAGAGGCATCAGTAGTGATTAATTTTGAGATTAACATTATTGCGATAATGATTCTTAAAATTGCAAAAATTCCTGCATCTAGTGGTTGACATATTGAGGTACAATTAGAAGGAAAAAATTCTACTTTTAAATTACTCAAATTAGGTAAGTTATTATGACAGGAACAATTATCAATAAATAACAAAACTTTCTTTTCATCCTTAACTAATTCTTGGTCCCAATCAACTAACCATTTTTTCCAAATTTCGATAGATCTATTTACATATTGACATGTATATTAACTTTTTTCGAAGATGTATATTCGACATTATAATTAGACAAATCAAAGTTGACTGAGGCAAAGCAACGAGGCTTTCTAGCTGATCCAATAATCAATGGCTTTCTCTTGATACCTGATAAACTTGCGCATAATAAAATAGAAACATGATTCTTTAGTGATTTAGTTCCATGTCGATCATCAGTTTGGAAAGAATATGAATATGAATTCTGACATTTGTATTGAAGTCCAGTCTCATCTGCGTTGTAGATTTCATCAGGTGAATAATTAGCTAATTTCTCAGGCAAAGATGATAAGTAATTAGCTAGAACCGAATCATCAACAGACTTTGATTCTCCTGAGATTCTGACATAAGTTAAGTTGTTTCTCAATGTAAATTTTTGAAACCAAGTTCTTGATCCTCTGAATCCAATAATACCTAATTTATTAGCCTCTAATCTTGCCTTTGCTTTTATAACCAACGAGTTGAAATTGAAACCTTTGTTAATACACAATTGACAATATTCCTTCATCACTTGATCTAATTTGGTAAATTTGTCTTTATTAGGTAACCGAGTTCTAGAAGCCATTGTTTTATTAGCTGTTGATAGAGATAATCAATTCTTATTACTAATTAAAAGCTCCATGATCAAAATAAATACCTTTGATTAAATTACCAATCTCATCTTTCTGATTGTACCATTTACATATTTGGCTTTCATTTATAAAGTATTCACCAACTAAATCAATTGGTTTTTTACCTTCCTCGAGTTGGTTAATAATATTCAATTTATCACTTAAACTTTTTCTAACCATAATAAGAAACTGATTAAATTAACACTAATGAACAATAATCAACACAAACAAAAATAAGACTTTTGTTCGAACAAAAATTATTCGTTACTATTAGTTACTAAATCAATCAATAGATGGAGCGGAAAATTTCCCTAAGTGAAGTTTCTCTAAGTGAAATCACCTCTGTATTACTGAAATTCTAAGGCAAATTTCATTTCACTTCAATGCTCAAGGGTCTGTATTTAAGATCTCGTACAAATCCAACTTTTGCTTGTCGAGATATTGAGACAAATGTTAGTAAAAGTTAAAAATCACTCGGTACAATTTCCTTGGTAAGTTTATTGATTGAAAATTGTTTTTAATCTAAAACAAAACTTATTCACCTGTTGGATTATTCACAATTTAAACATTCAATTTACTGTTTTATATTTGCACCAACTAGACTATGTAAATTTTTAGATATCGAATGATCTTTAATTGTTCAATTCGTCTGAATAAATAGTATTGATAATACGCATTTATTCTCTAACTTTGGGTAAATTAAATGATGTTACGCTTAATTGTCTTTTTGTAACAAATTTAATAAAAATCAACTGATGAGAATTTTGAATTTTCCTTCCGGATGGACAAAATTACCTTCAAAAAAAGTGATACAAAGATAAATATATTGTAATACCAGTTCCAATAATCCATTATAAAGTAGCTAAAACAATGTTTAATTAATTAATTAAATAGTGACTAATCTAACAGGTGAGCAATGAGCTTCGTTGGGAAGTAAATTGTTTATTTATCAATTGGTGAATTAATTAGCTCAGAGAATCGCATAAAAAAGAGTTCAATTTCTTGTAACTATGATCACTTTCAATCAATCGAAAACAAAGTTCAAATTTCAATTCTCTTTGTGTTCAGATAACTTATTAATAGTTTTTCTCGTTCAACGATTGCCGATTCAATCGACAATTATATCAAAGTTTCCATTGTCTTTTTGTTCAATTAAAGTTCTCACTCAACATGTGATCATCATCATGAAACTCAAGCTTCTTCTCATTGCTCTGGTTGTTTATTATTTCTATGCTTTATTGTTCTTTATTGTTACAATTATGTCCCAAAACCAAATTGAGTTATTAATCTAATTTTCTTGTGAAATAAAAATTCAAAGTTCTTATAATTAAATTAATTAAATTTAAACTTTAATTTAACTTATCAATAGTTATTCTCGTTCAACGTGTAATCACCATGAATTTAAAGCTTGTTCAAGTTCTTATTTTATTAATCGCTTTTATTGGAACTTCTCTGACCACACAGCACCCAGACTCGGAATTGGATCCACCCTCTCACGCTTCAAAACTTCTCAAAGAAATGATAAGGATAGGATGCTGTTCGAAAATTGATAATAAAGTAATTATCCTAATCATTTGATGTTGATTGTTGTTTAACAAATTGTGGTATTAAAATAAAATTTATATCATTTGAAAGCTTTTTTCTCTACAAGATGGTGTTATCAATTAATTTCTATTATAATTTCGCAAAATTAATCAGAAGATGAGACAAAAAATCGTATCATTATTTACTTGGATACCTAATATACAGCCTCGAAAATTAAGATCGACTACACTTTTAAATGGAGATACGCATAGAAGTGATATCTTATATACAACCATCGACTTTGAGTTTGCAACCACTTTTAATTTACTCGCCACGATAATGATAATCAATGAGAGATTAAGTTAACCCAAAGATATGATAATAATCAATGTCTTCTCATTTAATTCGTGTTATCTTTTAAAATGGTCATCTGATTAGATTTATCTTTGACTGATTATCATTAATTGCGCGAGTAAATTAAAAGTGGTTGCAAACTCAAAGTCGATGGCTGTATTTAGTATTGAATTTACATTGAAAATAAAGCTCCGAGCAAAAGTATTGAGAAAAGTTTCTAAATTACATTTTTAATTGTTCTAAATTAACAATATTAGTGTAGAAATTGAATCTATGAGGAATCGAAAGCTCACTATTTGATTATGTGTTGATAGAGTTTTAGTGAAGTTGAATTTGTTTTTCCGTGAGTTACAGGCCATTTACTTCGGTAAATTCGAAAATTAAAAGGCCGATTAGAAACGACTCGAATTTTTGGGCTATGAATGTGATCTGAGTTACAAAAATATCGTTATGAAAATCTTTATACCTGAAAATATAGTCTGGCATGTTTTCATCAAAATTGAACCATAGGTCGAAGTTTAATACGCAAAAGTTTAAGAAATTTTCTCGAAATTATTGTGAAAATTTGAAAAAACTTGAAAAAATTCCCATTCATTAACATGCAAAAAATTTGAGTCTTTTTTTAACAGCACTTCGAGACGCATTCAATCACGAATTTAAGACCTGAGACTCTTAGTCGATTATTGAAAAGGGATTAATTATGTAGGCTAATTAATACTGATTCGATTGATGTGTTTTAAAAAAATTTAGCCTTGTTCATTCTTGAACGACTTTTGTTCAACTGATTCCCAATACTTTTGCTCGGAGCTTGAGATAAGATAGATTTTTGAGGCTTTATGCCTTTTACCACTCAAGCTTCTTCTCATTGCTCTGGTTGTTTATTATTTCTATGCTTTATTGTTACAATTATGTCCACAAATCAAATTGAGTTATTAATCTAATTTTCTTATGAATTAAAAATTCAAAGTTCGTATAATTAAACTAATTAAATTTAAAATCAAGAAGCACTACTTGTGTTGCCCGAATTTTTGGTACAAAAGTTATCCAAAGTCTCAAAATCTTGTGATGATTTTGATAATTTTCGTATTCTCGGTTGGCTTGGTGGAGAAGGAAGATTATTTCGGAGCCACCAGTCGAGTCTGAGACAATGGATTAGTCAGGCCATTTAGTTTCTTGAGGACAATAACACCATTAAAAAAATTCTGAAGAAGTTCATGAAATTCTGTACTCAGCCTAAAAAGTGCTTTCAACAAAATGTCTAGAAAAATCGATCTGAAACTCAAGGTTCGAGCGCTATTCTGTATTGCGACTACCAGTAACCAAGCTCATTATCAATATTGTTTATCCAGACCAATATAAAAATTAAAAATCCTTTCATCATTCAAAATTTGAACAGTCTTGTCGATACAAATATAATTATAATAATTTATCAGTTGAGTGAAAATATTAAAGTTTAAATATGCAGTGTAGACTTTGAGTGAAGACTGTGTAATTTTTAGATATTGAATGATCTTTAATTGTTCAATCCGTCTGAATAAATAAGATTGATAATACGCATTTCCTTTCTAACTTTTGGTTAGTTTAATGATGTTACATTTAGTTAATTAATTAAATTGTGACTAGTTTATTTGGTGAATAATGAGCTTTGTTGGGAAGTAGATTGTGTTTATTCATCGATGAGTTAGTTTCCGCTAGAATTTGTATAAAAAGAAATAAAATTCATCAAACTATTATCACTTTCAATCAATTGATGCAATCGACGACAACAAAGTTTAAAGTTACAATTCTCTTTGTTTCCATATAACTTATTAATAGTTATTTCCGTTCAACATTTAATCACCATGAATTTAAAGCTTGTTCAAGTTCTCATTGCGGTAATGGCTCTCATTGGTACTTCTTTGGCTGCTAATCTTGACCGTAATGTAAGAAGTAATGGTGATTGCAATTTTCCGCTCTGTTGATTGTGCAGGATTCCTAGGATGATCTTCAATATGCTAGAACTCACAAATGTTGATAAAATGGTTTAATAAATATATTGAATAATCATGAACTAATAATGGGTATTAAATAAAATAACTTTAAGAATTAAAATGTCTTTTTATTAACATAATTTATTTGTGACAATGTTTATCGATTATCCTATCATTGATTCAACTATTATAATCATATAAAGCACAGTCGCAATGTTCAAAACTGATCGTCTAGCTTAGTGCCCGACTGGCCGCTTTATTGGTGCTAATCTGTGCTTAGAAATTATGAGACTCAATAATCAACCCTTAAAAGAACCTTTAGCATTTAATTCTTGAAAATTATACAAGACGTTACAAAAATATATGAAACAAATTTGAAAGTTAATAATAAATAGATGATAGAATATTGACTGAAAATTGATACATTTCATTAAAATTCAACTCTTTATTTATATTGAGCCATATTTTTAGAAAATTTTAGTCAATAGTTTGCGAACAGTTCAATTTCGAAAAAAATTCGCAAAAATCAATCTGTGAAACGTTTTCGACTTTGAAGTGCTATAACTTAAAAACTAATGATCAAAAAGAAACAAAACAAAATAAAATATCTACAACTTAGTGATCTTAATAATATGTAAAAATTCGAAGTGTGTGTGACAAAACGTTCTAAAGATATCCGAATTGGAAATTTCGGCAAAATCAAAAAGCGCGAAAATTCAAATTCTCTATGGGAAATTAACATGGGCTCACAAAATGATTTTTGGGTTTTTTCGATCTTAATTAAATTTCTCAAAAACGACTGATCAGAACTTTACGAAAATTGACCTCAATATAGATGAAGAAATGCCCATTCTATTTATGCTTAATTCTATTAATTATTTATTTTTAAAACTTGTAATTTTTTTGTCAAATTTGTTACATATCTTTTCGTAACATCCTGTTGTCAAAATTATTCATTAGTGAATGCAAACTTAAGTTAAAAAATTTTAATAATTAGTCATATCGTTTTTTCATGAACAAATTTCAGAATTGAAGTAACGCAAATCGAGAAATTTTTTACATGTTGAGTCTATGAGAGATTTTACAATGGCTTTCAATGGAAATTTTCATTTTCCATACTAAAAATCGCATTGAGAAAAATAGTTTTTTTCGATTTGGGTACAAATGCTTGAGCTCGTTTCGAAAAAGTTAATTTCATCAAAATCAGATCAATAGTTAAAAAGATATTCAGTTTTCTGAATCTTGTAGTCCCTATTTATTTTAGCCAAATTCGATCTGACCCATAAGCGATACTGTTACGATTTATGATCTAAAATTTCTATGTGATAATTATATACATGTGAACTATCAGAAAATGAAATTTCGTCTAAAATACAAGATGCTGTAACTTTTAGCGAAATCTGATTAAAGTGTCTCAAAATTTATAAGCACAGGTTAAATGGTTATTGTTATGATATTTTCATGGTAATTAATAATTGACCTTTTATTAATATTTGATATTTGAAAAATTAGTAAATTAATGGATCAATTTAACATTGACTTTTATTGATTATTTTTTCAATAGAAAAAACAAAAACAAAATCATTACAGCAACAATTTAAGTTTAGACTAAATTAATTGTCGCAAAAGATAAATTTATACCTGATTACAATTTAGAGGGTTAATTGTTAGATAGAAACAATAAAAGCTATTAATCAATTTTCAATGTTTGTTTTTCATTGATTTCCAAAAACAAGGTATTATGAATGTTAGTTGAATGTGTGAATTTGATTGTTGGTGTTTTTTGTGTTGTCTAATTGTGTGTACAATTGTAAACGTCTTGGTACAATAATGATGAAAAAATTATGATGAATGTGTCACATTGATCACTGATTGTTGATGATGATGATGTTAAGTTAAACACTTGAAAGAGATTAAATTTGATTAGTGATAAGTTTTATCATCGATCGATAACTAAACCCGCGGCCACAGTCGCTCCTCGATACCGAAGCATAATTCGTCCGAGATCTTTGTATTCTGAATAAAGTTCAATGGAAATCGGTTTGGATGTTTAATTTCGACGATTCTACTTTGATTATCTCCTTAAAAACGAGGCTTTGTTCTGGTCACTTGTCCATTACTTTTGTCCTATTATTGACATATGAGTTACCTTTTGTTGTTATGAAAATAACCAATCAACCAATTGGCGAAAAAAATGACCAGTTGTTAAGTTCAAAGAGGCAAAATTGATTGTTTTTTCATCGATCGATAACCAAACCAGCGGCCACAGTAGCTCCTCGATACCGAAGCGTAATTCGTCCGAGATCTTTGTATTCTGAATAAAGTTCAATGGAAATCGGTTTGGATGTTTCGATTTCGACGATTCCACTTGAATTTGCTGATAAACATCGAGGCTTTGTTTTGGTCACTTGTCCAGTGCTTTTGTCCAATAGTGAAATCAATTTACTGATTGTCGCTTGTTTTTGCAAATTTTTACAATGTAACACAACTTGAAAACCCTGAAAATATAAACAAAAAACAAAGATTAACAAACTATTAAATAAATCACAATCTCGATGCCGTTCTTACCCTTGTTAATGGAATCTGAACATTAGCAAAAACTACGACTTTGGCCTGGAAACGAGTTGTAACAGGTGATGGAACAGATATATCACATAATATATCACCCGAGGCAATATTAGTTGCACTACATCCTGTCAATGTTAAAGTTACTTGATCACCAGCAAATGCTTGATTAAAGAGGCAATCTTCAATTGAAATTGCTAATTAATGAGGGAAAAAGATTAATAGAAAAAAATTAATAGAAAAAGTTAAATTTAGAAGTAAATCATCGATGTAATCAAAACAATGTCGAAACTTTCTGATGATCAAATTTACCTTTAACAATTGCTTGTTCACTCGAGGGCATTACGATCAATTTTTGACCTAATTGGACAGCACCAGATTCAATTCGACCACAAATACAAACACCAGAAGTTAATCCTTTGAAAACATCACTGATACTCAATCGTAAAGGCTCATCGGAGCTTATTCCACTCCTACAACTTGGATTTCGAGATCCATTCGACGAGCAATCGAAACTCGTCATGCTAGAATGAGTGGTTGTGCTGCGGGTATGGGTATGGGTTGTGGTTCGACTGCCGTCGCTCCTCTTTCATGATTGTTGATTAGTAATAAATCAATCAAATGATTGGAAGGGGAGATTAATTTGGCTGATTAATTAGTCAGAATCAACCCTCATGCTGATCTTTACGATGCTCTTCGAATCCAATGAAATCCCAAATGTTTATTAAATGATCAAACTAATATATTAACCGGTAATTTGTTTCAATTAATAATCAATAAAATAATTTCCAACATTTAAATTTTCCATTTGTCGTTTTCGCTGATTTACATTAATGCCTTCGATTTATGATGCAAATTTTCGGATTACATAAAATATTGTGATAAATTTGTATTCATAGTTTCGACGATCAAGTCAAATACTCGAAGATCTTCGATCTCATCGAAAACCTAACTGTTCCGGAATTACCATAGAGTTTGATGGAAAAACTGAAATTTTCATATTTTTCAAATCAAGACTGACTTTTCGGTTTTAATCTCGTCAATTTTTGTGAGCTCTTTTGACCGGACTTTTTACCATTTTGATTAGAGCGATTCAGAGTCCAATTCTGCTATTGAAAATTCTTCAGGCCAATCCAATTTTTTTGGAGGAATCTTCAAGTGGGCACCCTAATAAATTTAATTGTTTCGCGATTGAAGAAACCAAATTTTCATTTAAAGAAACCAAAATGGCTCCTAATTACTATCAATTAATTCCAAGTCGAAATGAGATTTACACCCAATTCATGATGCTTTTGAATATAAAACTCTATTTCTCAACCAATTTTCGCTTTAAAATTCATCAAAAAATGAAGGTTCGAAGTCTCTAACCATTAATCTCAATTGGAGTACGACTGAAACCATTGGGGTTTCTTCAGATGAAAAAATGGTTTTCTAAATTGAAAGTTTGGTTTCTTCAATCTTCAATTCAATCAATTAACACAAAGTTTACCTGAGTATCCATAACGGTACGAGGAATGGCAGTTTGTGAGATACATTTGCCAGGTCATTTACCAAGTAGTTTATTGAGGAACTTAATACCATGAATGCTCCTGAAGAAATTCTATACTCAGCCTAAGAGGTGCTTTCATAAAATGCCTAGAAAAATCGCTCTGAAACTCAAGGCTCGAGCGCTATTCTGTATTACGATTCTCAGTGACTAAGCTTATCCATTATCAATATTGCTTATTCAGACACATCGAAAAATTAAAAATCATTCTATCCTTCAAAATTTGAACAGTTTTGTCTTACAAATATATTAACAATTTATCAGTTGAGTGAGAATGTTAAAATTTGAATATGCAGTGTAGACTTTGTGTGAAGACTGTGTAATTTTTAGATATCAAATGATCTTTAATTGTTCAATTCATCTGAATAAATAGTATTGATAATACGCATTTCTATTCTAACTTTGGGTAAGTTAAATGATGTTACATTTAGTAAATTGATTAAATTGTGACTAATCTATTAGGTGAATAATGAGCTTTGTTGGGAAGTAGATTGTGTTTATTCATTGGTAAATTAATTTCCGCTAAAATTTGTATAAAAAGAAATAAACTTCATCAAACTATCATCACTTTCAATCAATTGATTTAATTGAATAAAACGAAAACGTTTAAAGTTCCAATTCTCTTCGCTTTAGAAAACTTATCAATAGCTATTCTCTTTCAACGTCTAATCATCATGAATTTAAAGCTTGTTCAAGTTCTCATTGTGGTAATTGCTCTCATTGGAGCTACTTTGGCGGATAGATCTAAACGTGAAGATCAAGGCCAATGTCTTGGATTTGGGCCAGGCTGCATTTAAAGCTAGACTCGCTTCTCACGATGACCTTTACGATACTAGAATTCTTAAGTAACGGTTTAATAAATGTATTGAATAATCATGAACTGAAAATGATAATTAAATAAAATAATTTTAAGAATTTAAATGTCTCTTTATAAAAATTATTCACATGTGACAATGTTTATCGGTTATCCTATTGTTGCTTCAACTATAAAGCACAGTCACAATGTCCAAAACTGATCGTTTGGCTTAGTTTTTGGCCGCCTTATTGGTGCTAAATGCTTATTGTTACAATATTTTCATTAAAATTAATAATTGACCTTTAATTTATTTGATATTTGGAAAAAAATTATCAAATTAATTGATCAATTTAACATTGACTTTTATTGTTTATTTTTTTCAATAGAAAAAACAAAAACAAATTCATTACAGCAACAATTTAAGTTTAGACTAAATTAATTGTTGCAAAAGATAAATTTATACCTGATTACAATTTAGAGGGTTAATTGTTAGATAGAAACAATAAAAGCTATTAATCAATTTTCAATGTTTGTTTTTCATTGATTTCCAAAAACAAGGTATTATGAATGTTAGTTGAATGTGTGAATTTGATTGTTGGTGTTTTTTGTGTTGTCTAATTGTGTGTACAATTGTAAACGTCTTGGTACAACAATGATGAAAAAATGATGGTGAATGTGTCACATTGATCACTGATTGCTGATTATGATGTTAAGTTAAACACTTGAAGAAAATTAAATTTGATTAGTGATAAGTTTTATCATCGATCGATAACTAAACCAGCGGCCACAGTCACTCCTCGATACCGAAGCGTAATTCGTCCGAGATCTTTGTATTCTGAATAAAGTTCAATCGAAATCGGTTTGGATGTTTCAATTTCGACGATTCTACTTTGATTATCTCCTTAAAAACGAGGCTTTGTTCTGGTCACTTGTCCATTACTTTTGTCCTATTATTGACATATGAGTTACCTTTTGTTGTTATGAAAATAACCAATCAACCAATTGGCGAAAAAAATGACCAGTTGTTAAGTTCAAAGAGGCAAAATTGATTGTTTTTTCATCGATCGATAACCAAACCAGCGGCCACAGTAGCTCCTCGATACCGAAGCATAATTCGTCCGAGATCTTTGTATTCTGAATAAAGTTCAATGGAAATCGGTTTGGATGTTTAATTTCGACGATTCCACTTGAATTTGCTGCTAAACATCGAGGCTTTGTTTTGGTCACTTGTCCAGTGCTTTTGTCCAATAGTGAAATCAATTTACTGATTGTCGCTTGTTTTTGCAAATTTTTACAATGTAACACAACTTGAAAACCCTGAAAATATAAACAAAAACAAAGATTAACAAACTATTAAATAAATCACAATCTCGATGCCGTTCTTACCCTTGTTAATGGAATCTGAACATTAGCAAAAACTACGACTTTGGCCTGGAAACGAGTTGTAACAGGTGATGGAACAGATATATCACATAATATATCACCCGAGGCAATATTAGTTGCACTACATCCTGTCAATGTTAAAGTTACTTGATCACCAGCAAATGCTTGATTAAAGAGGCAATCTTCAATTGAAATTGCTAATTAATGAGGGAAAAAGATTAATAGAAAAATAATTAATAGAAAAAGTTAAATTTAGAAATAAATCATCGAAGTAATCAAAACAATGACGAAACTTTCTGATGATCAAATTTACCTTTAACAATTGCTTGTTCACTCGAGGGCATTACGATCAATTTTTGACCTAATTGGACAGCACCAGATTCAATTCGACCACAAATACAAACACCAGAAGTTAATCCTTTGAAAACATCACTGATACTCAATCGTAAAGGCTCATCGGAGCTTATTCCACTCCTACAACTTGGTTTCGAGATCCATTCGACGAGCAATCGAAACTCGTCATGCTAGAATGAGTGGTTGTGCTGCGGGTATGGGTATGGGTTGTGGTTCGACTGCCGTCGCTCCTCTTTCATGATTGTTGATTAGTAATAAATCAATCAAATGATTGGAAGGGGAGATTAATTTGGCTGATTAATTAGTCAGAATCAACCCTCATGCTCATCTTTACGACACTCTTTGAATCCAATGAAATCCCAAATGTTTACTAAATGATTAAACTAATATATTAATTGATCATTTGTTTGAATTAAATAATAATCACAATAAAATAATTTCCATCATTTAAATTTTTCGTTAATCGTTTCACTTATTTACATTAATGCCTCCGATTTATGTTGTCAATTTTCGGATTACATAAAATATTGTGATAAATTTGTATTCATAGTTTCGACGATCAAGTCGAATACTCGAAGATCTTCGATCTCATCGAAAACCTAACTGTTCCGGAATTACCATAGAGTTTGATGGAAAAACTGAAATTTTTCATATTTTTTCAAATCAAGACTGACTTTTTCGGTTTTAATCTCGTCAATTTTTTTGTGAGCTCTTTTGACCGGACTTTTTACCATTTTGATTAGAGCGATTCAGAGTCCAATTCTGCTATTGAAAATTCTTCAGGCCAATCCAATTTTTTTGGAGGAATCTTCAAGTGGGCACCCTAATAAATTTAATTGTTTCGCGATTGAAGAAACCAAATTTTCATTTAAAGAAACCAAAATGGCTCCTAATTACTATCAATTAATTCCAAGTCGAAATGAGATTTACACCCAATTCATGATGCTTTTGAATATAAAACTCTATTTCTCAACCAATTTTCGCTTTAAAATTCATCAAAAAATGAAGGTTCGAAGTCTCTAACCATTAATCTCAATTGGAGTACGACTGAAACCATTGGGGTTTCTTCAGATGAAAAAATGGTTTTCTAAATTGAAAGTTTGGTTTCTTCAATCTTCAATTCAATCAATTAACACAAAGTTTACCTGAGTATCCATAACGGTACGAGGAATGGCAGTTTGTGAGATACATTTGCCAGGTCATTTACCAAGTAGTTTATTGAGGAACTTAATACCATGAATGCTCCTGAAGAAATTCTATACTCAGCCTAAGAGGTGCTTTCACAAAATGTCTAGAAAAATCGCTCTGAAACTCAAGGCTCGAGCGCTATTCTGTATTACGATTCTCAGTGACCAAGCTCATTATCAATATTGCTTATTCAGACACATCGAAAAATTAAAAATCATTCTATCCTTCAAAATTTGAACAGTTTTGTCTTACAAATATATTAACAATTTATCAGTTGAGTGAGAATATTAAAATTTGAATATGCAGTGTAGACTTTGTGTGAAGACTGTGTAATTTTTAGATATCGAATGATCTTTAATTGTTCAATTCATCTGAATAAATAGTATTGATAATACGCATTTCCTTTCTAACTTTTGGTTAGTTTAATGATGTTATATTTAGTCAATTGAGTAAATTGTGACTAATCTATTAGGTGAATAATGAGCTTTGTTGGGAAGTAGATTGAGTTTATTAATTGGTAACTTAATTTCCGCTAAAAAAGGTATAAAAAGAAATAAACTTCATCAAACTATCATCACTTTCAAGCAATTGATTTAATTGAATAAAACGAAAACGTTTAAAGTTCAAATTCTCTTCGTTTTAGAAAACTTATCAATAGCTATTCTCTTTCAACGTCTAATCATCATGAATTTCAAGCTTGTTCAAGTTCTCATTGTGGTAATTGCTCTCATTGGAGCTACTTTGGCGGGTAGATCTAAACGTGAAGATCAAGGCCCATGTCTTGGATTTGGGCCAGGCTGCATATGAAGCTAGACTCGCTTCTCACGATGACCTTTACGATACTAGAATTCTCAAGTAACGGTTTAATAAATGTATTGAATAATCATGAACTTAAAATAATAATTAAATAAAATAACATAAAATACATGTGACAATGTTTATCAGTTATCCTATTGTTGCTTCAACTATAAAGCACAGTCACAATGTTCAAAACTGATCGTTTGGCTTAGTTTTTGGCCGCCTTATTGGTGCTAAATGCTTATTGTTACGATATTTTCATTATAATTAATAATTGACCTTTAATTTATTTGATATTTGAAAAAAATTATCAAATAAATGGATCAATTTAACATTGACTTTTATTGTTTATTTTTTCAATAGAAAAAACAAAAACAGAATCATTACAGCAACAATTTAAGTTTAGACTAAATTAATTGTCGCAAAAGATAAATTCATACCTGATTACAATTTAGAGGGTTAATTGTTAGATAGAAACAATAAAAGCTATTAATCAATTTTCAATGTTTGTTTTTCATTGACTTCCAAAAACAAGGTATTATGAATGTTAGTTGAATGGTGAATTTGATTGTTGGTGTTTTTTGTGTTGTCTAATTGTGTGTACAATTGTAAACGTCTTGGTACAACAATGATGAAAAAATGATGGTGAATTTGATGATCACATTGATCACTGATTGTTGATGATGATGATGTTAAGTTAAACACTTGAAAGAGATTAAATTTGATTAGTGATAAGTTTTTTCATCGATCGATAACCAAACCAGCGGCCACAGTCGCTCCTCGATACCGAAGCATAATTCGTCCGAGATCTTTGTATTCTGAATAAAGTTCAATGGAAATCGGTTTGGATGTTTAATTTCGACGATTCCACTTGAATTTGCTGCTAAACATCGAGGCTTTGTTTTGGTCACTTGTCCAGTGCTTTTGTCCAATTGTGAAATCAATTTACTGATTGTCGCTTGTTTCTGCAAATTTTTACTCTTTTCGATACTTGGCCTAATCTATACAATAAATGTTAAAAAATGCTCGGTACAATTTCCTTGGTGAATTAATTGATTGAAAATTGTTTTTAATCTAAAACAAAACTTATTCACCTGTTGGATTATTCACAATTTAAACATTCAATTTACTATTTTATATTTGTACCAATAAGACTGTGTAAATTTTTAGATATCGAATGATCTTTAATTGTTCAATTCGTCTGAATAAATAGTATTGATAATACGCATTTATTCTCTAACTTTGGGTAAATTAAATGATGTTACGTTTAATTGTCTTTCTGTAACAAATTTAATAACAATCAACTGATGAGAATCTTGAATTCTCCTTTCGGATGGACACAATTACCTTTAAAAAAAGTGATTTAACGATAAATGTATTGTAATACCAGTTCCAATAGTCCATTACAAAGTAGCTAAAACAATGTTTAATTAATTAATTAAATAGTGACTAATCTACAGGTGAGCAATGAGCTTCTTTGGGAAGTAAATTATTTATTTATCAATTGGTGAATTAATTAGCTCAGAGAATCGTATAAAAAAAGAAGTCCAATTTCTTGTAACTATGATCACTTTCAATTTATCGAAAACAAGGTTCAAATTTCAATTCTCTTTGTGTTCAGATAACTTATTAATTGTTTTTCTCGTTCAACGATTGCCGATTCAATCGACAATTTTATCAGAGTTTCCATTGTTTTTATGTTCAATTAAAGTTATTCTCACTCAACAGCTGATCATCATCATGAAACTCAAGCTTCTTCTCATTGCTCTGGTTGTTTATTATTTCTATGCTTTATTGTTCTTTATTGTTACAATTATGTCCCCAAATCAAATTGAGTTATTGATCTAATTTTCTTGTGAAATAAAAATTCAAAGTTCTTATAATTAAATTAATTAAATTTAAAATCGTCTCCAGGTCAAAAGGCCACAGAGACTAAAAATTCAGGTTCTCTTTCATAACTTTTTAAAGTTCCCTACAACGGTCTTGTAAATCCATAAAATGTACTAACCGATCATGAATATGAATTAAAGATTTATTAATAATAAGACAAATGAATTGAAAATTTCAATATTGCGTCTCTTTTTTACTCATTTATCGAAAAATGTTCACTAGGATTTGATATTTGATTCAATGGTAAGGCTCTTTACATTTACTTTTATTTAGTACCAATCAATTATCTTGACCAAGAGCCATCTCACTGTGAGATTGTTTCAATTTAACTTAACTAATTTGAAGAGTAGACAAAGAGCTTACTGATGATGATTGTGTTTCCTGAGAATCGTCGGTGAGTAGATTTTTTTCTGAAGGTAAACCATAAAGTGCGGCATAAGAAGCACTACTTATGCTGCTCGTATTTTTTGTACAAAAGTTATCCAAAGTCTCGAAATCTTCTGATGATTTTGATAATTATCGTGTTCTCGGTTGGTTTGGTGGAGAAGGAGGATTTATTTCGGAACAACCAGTCGAGTCTGAGATTTCACTTTGTGTTGCTCGAGTTTGATGCTCACTATCAGGACATAAGACACCAAGTTTTGAGAACTGAGAAGGGGAAAATAACAAAATTAATCTGAAATCTTAATCGTCAATTTTAATAAACAAAAAGTTTACCGGAGTATCCATAACGGTAAGAGCAAAGACAGTTTGTGCGAGAACTGTAATAAAAAAATTCTTAAGAAATTCATAAGTGTTTTCAAAAAATGTATAGAAACATGATCCTGAAACTCAAGGTCCGAGCACTATTCTGTGTTGCGATTATCAGTAACCAAGCTCATTATCAATATTGTTTATTCAGACGAATAGAAAAATTAAAAATCATTCAACATTTAAAATTTTAACAGTCTTGTCGATACAAATATAATTATAATAATTTATCAGTTGAGTGAAAATATTAAAGTTTAAATATGCAGTGTAGACTTTGAGTGAAGACTTAGATATCGAATGATTCTAACTTTGGGTGAGTTAAATGATGTTACATTTAGTTAATTAATTAAATTGTGACTAGTCTATTTGGTGAATAATGAGCTTTGTTGGGAAGTAGATTGTGTTTGTTCATCGATGAGTTAATTTCCGCTAGAATTTGTATAAAAATAAATAAAATTCATCAAACTATTATCACTTTCAATCAATTGAATCAATAGACGACAACAACGTTTAAAGTTACAATTCTCTTTGTTTCCAGATAACTTATTAATAGTTCAACGTCTAATCACCATGAATTTCAAGCTTGTTCAAGTTCTCATTGCGGTAATGGCTCTCATTGGTACTTCTTTGGCTGCTAATCTTGACCGTAATGTAAGAGGTGATGATGATTGCGGTTTTCCTCTCTGTGGATCGAACCCAGGATGATCTTCAATATGCTAGAACTCCCAAATGCTGATACAATGGTTTAATTTATGTATTGAATAATCATGAACTGATAATGAGTATTAAATAAAATAATTTTAAGAATTTAAATGTCTGTTTATTAATACAGGGCGTTAGCGCTACAAAAACAGATTTGTTTTTGGAATAACGGGTGAACGGAGAGTCGCAGACGCAAATAGATTACATTGTTGGACTCGTCAAGTCTAGGCAATTTTTGGTATCAAGTTCGAAATCGAACTTCGTTAGGCCGAAAGTCCGTTATCTGAGATGCCAGAGTTGAAAAATTAGTTTTATGAGATATTTGGGCTATATTAACCCAGAAAAGATCACAATTGCATCTTAAATGGGATTACGAACGGACTTTTGGCCAAATTAAGAGTAAATTAACTGTCGCAAAAGATAAATTTATACCTGCTTACAATTTAGAGGGTTAATTGTTAGGTAGAAACAATAAAAGCTATTAATCAATTTTCAATCTTTGTTTTTCATTGACTTCCAAAAACAAGGTATTATGAATGTTAGTTGAATGGGTGAATTTGATTGTTGGTGTTTTTTGTGTTGTCTAATTGTGTGTACAAATGTAAACGTTTTGGTACAACAATGATGAAAAAAGGATGGTGAATGTGAGAAATGTCATTCCTTTCATAAGCCGAGCGTCTTTTTTAAACTTACGGACATTGTTCTTAATATAAGGGTGTCCATCTAAAATCTCGTACAAATCTGACTTTTGGTTCTCGAGATATTGAGTCAAATGTCCATAATCAATAAAATATGTAAGTAGTTTTAAAGACTATCAAGTTAAATTCGAACCTTAAAATTAAAGCAAAGTCACAATGTTTAAAACTGATTGTTTGGATTAGCTGTTGGCCGCCTTATTGGTGCTAAATGCTTATTGTAACGATATTTGCATTGTAATTAATAATTGACCTTTAATTTATTTGATATTTGAAAAATTATCAAATCAATTATCAATGGATCAATTTAACATTGACTTTTATTGTTTATTTTTTCAATAGAAAAAACAAAAACAAAATCATTACAGCCACAATTTAAGTTTAGACTAAATTAATTGTCGCAAAAGATAAATTTATACCTGCTTACAATTTAGGGGGTTAATTGTTAGATAGAAACAATAAAAGCTATTAATCAATTTTCAATGTTTGTTTTGATTGACTTCCAAAAACAAGGTATTATGAATGTTAGTTAAATGGGGGAATTTGATTACTGGTGTTTTTTGTGTTGTCTAATTGTGTGTACAATTGTAAACGTCTTGGTACAACAATGATGAAAAAATTATGATGAATGTGTCACATTGATCACTGATTGTTGATGATGATGATGTTAAGTTAAACACTTGAAGGAGATTTAATTTGATTAGTGATAAGTTTTTTCATCGATCGATAACCAAACCCGCGGCCACAGTCGCTCCTCGATACCGAAGCATAATTCGTCCGAGATCTTTGTATTCTGAATAAAGTTCAATAGAAATTGGTTTAGATGTTTCGATTTCGACGATTCCACTTGAATTTGCTGCTAAACATCGAGGCTTTGCTTTGGTCACTTGTCCAGTGCTTTTGTCCAATTGTGAAATCAATTTACTGATTGTCGCTTGTTTTTGCAAATTTTTACAATGTAACACAACTTGAAAACCCTGAAAATATAAACAAAAATTAACAGAATAACAAACTATTATATTTAATTGTGATTTATTAATCACAATCTCAATGCCGTTTTTACCTTTGTTAATGGAATCTGAACATTAGCAAAAACTACGACTTTGGCCTGGAAACGAGTAGTAACAGGTGATGGAACAGATATATCACATAATATATCACCCGAGGCAATATTAGTTGCACTACATCCTGTCAATGTTAAAGTTACTTGATCACCAGCAAATGCTTGATTAAAGAGGCAATCTTCAATGGAAATTGCTAATTAATGAGGGAAAAAGATTAATAGAAAAAGTTAAATTTAGAAATGAATCATTGATGCAATCAAAACAATGACGAAACTTTCTGATGATCAAATTTACCTTTAACAATTGCTTGTTCACTCGAGGGCATTACGATCAATTTTTGACCTAATTGGACAGCACCAGATTCAATTCGACCACAAATACAAACACCAGAAGTTAATCCTTTGAAAACATCACTGATACTCAATCGTAAAGGCTTAGACACAGGCCTTTCGGGTGCTTGGAAAGAATCTAAGCAATTGGTAACAATAATAGTGATACATGTAAGTAATTAAGAGATGGTCAACAATTGTACCGAAATTATGGAAATTAAATACACACCGATAACTTCAACGAGATGGACCCGAATACCATGAAGTTAAGGAAGGGATTGTTGATCGTTCATTGAGATTTTCTCCCGTTAATCCACTGCAAGGCACGAAAGTGACACCTTTCTCTTTGTAGCCAACTTGTTTAAGGAACGGAGTTAATTTACCAACAATTTCATCGTATCTCTCTTTATTCCACTTTACATTATCCAATTTATTGATTACCACAGCAATTTGTGAGACTCCAAGTGATCGTATGAGTATCGTGTGTTCCCGAGTTTGACCTCCCGCTTCAAATCCAGCCTCGAATTCACCTTTGGTTGCATCAACGACCAAAAGAGCGGCATCAGCTTGAGAAGCTCCAGTTATCATGTTGGGAATAAAATCTCGATGACCTGGAGCATCAAGTAGATTAACCGATTTTGTGGACGTTTCAAAAGACGATTGAGCGATGTCCATGGTTATACCTCGAGATCGCTCTTCATTTGTCTCATCGAGAACCCAAGCATATTGGAAAGAGGCTTTACCAATCTTTTTAGAATCTGTCTCATATCGATGCATACTCTTTTTCGATACTTGGCCTAATCTGTACAATAAATGGCCCATAAGGGTTGATTTTCCAGCGTCCACATGTCCGACAACAACCAAGTTGATTAAGCTTTTTTTCCCTGATCTTTCCTTGTTAAACTCTTCGATAACACTTTCCCGTGAGATATTTTTCACTTGATTCTTGTTTGCACCAATAATCTGAAGTACATTGGGCGATGATGTTACAGATGCACAAGGTGATGATTTCTCTCGAGCTGGACTTCGTTTTCTTTCAATTTTATCAACTTGTAAGTGTTTAATTGATTTGACAACATCTTTCATTCCTGCCGTACAATCGTATTTGGCTTTCTTATCATATTGAGTCATCAATTCTTCAGCATAATCAACTTCATCCATTTTTTTGCTGTTGTTTAAACGATGGAGTCTCAAATCATCGGGAGATGGGGTTGAAAATTTAAACGTTTCAATGGTCTGTTGATTGTGATACTCAGTTAATCTTTCCTTCAGCCTAATCCGAGGATTACTGAATCGAGGTATATCAGGCTTGTATCTGGCGGTTATGGTCACCACAAAATTTGAATATCTTACAGATTTACTGGCACTTACAAGGCTTAAGTTGTTGCTGGTATCATCAAGGTCTAATAAAAAGCTTATTGGGGAAATTAAACACGTTGATGAATTGAAAGATGTTGATGATGATGAGACTGATTTGTTTATAGATGATGAGTAAATCGATGATGTTGATGTTTCAGTTGGTTGTTTTGTTGGTGGTGATGATTGAGTTGAATTTGATGAAGAGAGAGGAAAATGTGAACAAGATGATGAGAAAGTGGATGAGAGAGAAGAACAACACGAAGAAAGAGGAGGAGGAGGAATACAAGGAGGAAGGATTATTAAAGATGATAGATTGTTATGATTACTATTTGTTACACTGTTTGGATTGGTTTTATTAAGAGAATCTGGAATATCTTTTAAAAATTCTAACTCGAAATCGTCTTCCTCTTCTCCATCTCCATTCACAGTATCAGGTGGTTTAACGAAAATATTGCTAGATAATAACATTAAAATAGATCGTTAATTGTAATCAATAAAACATCTAGAAAATTCCGTGACAATTAAATAAACAGCAACAGATTGAATGACTTACAATTGGAAAGAAAATCTTGGTGTTTCTCTTTGCTCTCAATAGATGGCGGGGTCAATCGCACTTTTTTGTTTTCGAAAAAAAATTTTTGTTTTAATTAAATCTAATCAAGATTGGAAATTAGATTGAAATTTATAAATAAAAAGGGAAAATTAGATTGGTGTGAATGATTGAAATAATCGATAACTATTTGAAGTTACAATTGTACAAAAAATTGCATTACAATCGATAAGTTCATTTTCTTTAATGTGAAAGGAAAATGAAAAGATAATTGTGAACTAATTAACTTTTTTGTCTTTAGATAATTAGTATTGTGTGACATTGTATCATTGAAAGTAAATCAAATTTTCCATTGATCAAGGTTGTATATTGTTTTCATTTGTGATTGTAACTGTGATTCTCTTCAATTGTAATGGAAATGAAAATATAGATTTAACTTGTCGTTGAGAGAGAGGAAATCATTTCCAATCTGGATTGATGAACAAGAATAATTAAAATCTAATAATCAGGGATTAGATTCTCTTGGAATTACGATCCTTATGGTTCACTTGGAATGATTGTAATAGTTTTCTTTTAACCATATTAACCGAATCGTAATTTTTCCTTCATGTAAATTCATCTGAATGGTTGATACCAAATATCAATTTAAATCTGCTAAAAGTATAAACAGTAAGAGGTTAAAAAAGAGAAAAGAATTAGAATTGATTTAAACAGAATCACAGGTATCAGATATTCAAACAAATTAATTCTAAACAATTTACTTCATCGTCATCATGGTTTTCTATGGATTCAGTGGCTTTTGTTTTTAAATTAATTCACTTGATTGTCCCTCATCTTCACAATAAAGCCAAAGTCTTAAGCTCAAAACAAGAAGATAATCTTTTAAGTAAATAAGTAATTAAGGTAAATTGTGTTGTTATTTTTGTTCATTTAAAGCATCATTTTTGATACTCGATTCATAAATTCAATCAAATCAATTCTATCAGGCAAAAAAAGTTCACAACTGTTAGCATAATTTTCATTAATTTTTTGATATTTCAACTGTTTCCGTCTTGTTTTCATTCCAAGACCTAATTGATTAATTTCAATTTGAAAATCAAGTTGAAACTGTTTTAAAACATCAATCAGTTGGAATAGATTAACATTGGCTGAATTAAACTGTTGATTTAATTTATTATGAAATCCCTCGATGTGGTTATTTGTTCTTGGTCCAGTGTTGTTGAAATGATCCCAAATCAATCGTTTGAATGTTGCTTGATTCTCGTCAACCCAAGTAGACTCAACATAGTCAAGAAAAGTATCAATTCTATCACCATTTTGACAATTATTATTAATGTTTATTAAATACCAAGCTTCATCAATACGATCGAGAGGAATCAGAGGAAGAGAGATAATCTGTCTAAATAATCGAGTAAATTGTTCATCATTCTTATATAACTTTTTCAGACCAAGATTAGCAATTTTTCTGAAGCACATTGACTATAATGAAAATAGCAACCTTTGATATTAATATCAGGTATTATTTGATGAAACGATTCAATTACACCTAACTCATAATCAATTATTAATTGTTGGAGTTTAAATTTCAAATTTCTTTGATTAGCTAAATCAGTAATCTTATTAATCATTTTGATATAAGTTAACTTACTTTTGTTCATTAATAGGCAATAGATTAATGGAAACATTTCATTTCTGATGAATGAGTGAAAACTATAAATTTGAACAAAAGGCTTTGGAGCAACAAAGAAAGTACCATCACCAAAAATCTGTTTACTATTACAGAGATGCACAAAAAATTCATCAGTACCTATTATTATCATCTTATTATCACTATCATCAACACTAAGAATAAATTTTTTATCATCTAAAGTTCTTGACCAAGATGAATCGTTTTTAATAAAATCAATCTCATTTGAAGTCGAAGGGAAAAGTTTTCGTCTCGATCGATATAATGAAGCTTGAACTTGTCTAAATGAAGGTAAATTATTGATACTTTTATTTTGATCATTCAAATCTAATGCTCTTTCCCTCAAAGACTGATGAAAAAAGAAAAATAATAAAAATAATAATTAAATCAAATTGAAAGAGAGAGATGAGGTAAGAGAATAATAAAATTTACCTTATTGAAAACATCATGAGCCTTAAGTAAAGGTGATGTTTTTATTTCACTTGAAACTTTCTCCTTGATCTTGATTGTTTCAATTTTTTTTGATGATCAACATGATTATGATTATTTTTCACTTTAATTGAACCATTGGATTGATCTGTCACACAGGTAACACTACAAAAAGAATTTCTCTCAAGGCAAGTAATGTCGAGTTTTATCATTATTAGAATTTTGATAATTATAGATGAAATTTTCATGAATCAACAACTTTCCACCACGAGAAGAGGTAACAAACTCCATATTAAACTTGATCGAAAAAATAATGAACTAAACTAAACATTGAAAGTAATTAATTTGAATGAGTTTCTGTGCTGAAAATAGTGAGTCTGAATTTAATTTATAACAAATTAATTCTTTTGTTTTTCTTTGGAAAAATTCGATGTCTTCAAGCAAATTGACCATAAGGTAAACATCGGATTATCTTTAAGAGATTATCCCGAGGAGATTTATTGTGAAGATGAGGACCCACCATTCACTTTAAGCCTAAACTTGTTAACTGAAAATCCTTTAAGCTGAAGGATTAATTGTGTATTCCAATATAACCATAAAGTGAAAGAAGATCAATCTCCCTGGATGATAGAAAAAAAAGAAAATGAAAAAAATGGAAATTTAATTAGTATTCTCAAGAAGAAGGGTAAACATTAACGATGGACCATTTAAATATTTAAAAAGTCAATGGATTAAAAATGCAAAGTTTAATCAACTGAATAAATCTTTTCTTTTCGTTTCATAAAACCAGATACAAAATCTTTCCAGAGAAAATGTAAACAATTTATAGGAAACAACGAAAACATGAGATTCATAAATTTCTAGACATTTCTAAGGTTAAATGAATAGAGGAAAAAAATGGCCACCAAAGTAAAACCATTGAAAAGGTTAAAAAAAATGTTCAATATGGTTAACACATTTAAAACTTACAAACCTTTTCATCATTTGTTGGACTCACCTACTTGATTTTCATCTTTCAAATTAATCTCACAATCAACTGATCATCTATCGAGTTAAATTAAACTGTTGAGTAAAAAGAAAGATTGAAAAGAGAGAAAAAAATTAAAAGAAAAGATTTAAAATCCAAATGAGATTAAAGAGAAAAAATTTTAATCGGTTTTTAATCCAACCGGTTATTCATTTGGAACAAACGTTAGTCACAATGAATGGAACAAGATGTCGCTCTGAAAGAGAATAAACTGTAACCGGTTATTTCGATTGTTGTTCGAACCGCATCGGTTTACCGGATCTTCGGATAATCCGAATAATTGAAGAGAGAAGAAAAAAATTGAATTGAATTTGTTTTTTTTCAGAGAATTTTTCTTAATTTGATTTGTTAATTGAATTGTTGGTTTATTCGAAGTGATTTGGAGATTTAATTTTGTTTTGTTTGGTGGAGAGAATCGAAGATTAAAGTAAATTGGTGAAAGAAATGGAATCTTAGTGATATTTAGATTCGATATCTTGGATTCACCCAAGTTTCTTTTAAATGAGACCACCAGCTGGTGGGAGAAGCTGTTGAATCAGCGGAGGGAGCGTTCGGGTCTCTTTATTTTCTGTTCATTTAATTGGTGACACAACATTTAACACTTTATTTAATGTGACCAAACCAAATTTCAAGTCCTAATTAACAATTTTATATACAACAAAGTGAAATTCAAGTGAAAGAACAAAAAAAAATAAGGATAAAAAGGAACAAAAAATAAACCAAAAGATTTAATTCTGAGTAAAATTTTGGTGAATAATAACACATCCAAGGAAAGGAATAAGTTACCAGTTTTTTTTTTCTCTTCTCTTCTTCTTTTCTTTCTCTCATTTGTATATTCTATTCTATCTGTATATGTGTTTGTGTGTCCAAGAAGAAGAAGAAGAAAAAATTGAACCATTTGGAGTTATTGTGAGGAAATTAAAAAATGCCTCCCATATTAACCAAATCAACTAATTCTAATAGTGAAGGTGATTACACGCTTGTCTCACATGAAGTTCTCTATTCCAATTATAATCAATATGAAGTACTTGATTTTCTTGGTCGTGGTACCTTTGGTCAAGTTGTTAAATGCTGGAAAAAGGGAACAAATGAAATTGTGGCAATTAAAATCCTTAAAAATCATCCATCCTACGTTCGCCAAGGCCAAATTGAGGTTTCCATTCTTCAAAGGTTATCTGCTGAATCATGTGATGAATTTAATTTTGTCCGAGCCTATGAATGTTTTAGTCACAAGAATCATACCTGCCTCGTATTTGAAATGTTGGAACAAAATTTATATGATTTCCTTAAACAGAATAAGTTTCAACCTCTTCCTCTAAAATTTATCCGTCCTATATTACAACAAGTTTTAACAGCTTTACTCAAATTAAAACAATTGGGCCTGATTCATGCTGATTTAAAGCCTGAGAATATAATGTTGGTCGATCCAGAGAGATATCCTTTCAGGGTCAAAGTTATCGATTTTGGCTCGGCAAGTCATGTTTCCAAAGCTGTTTGTTCAACATATCTACAATCTCGTTACTATCGAGCACCAGAGATCATATTGGGTTTACCATTTTGTGAAGCAATTGACATGTGGTCACTCGGTTGTGTTATCGCTGAATTATTTCTTGGTTGGCCTCTTTATCCTGGTTCTTCTGAATATGATCAGATACGTTACATTTCCCAAACACAAGGTTTACCTGTAGATCATATGTTAACTGAGGCAACCAAAACAACTCGATTTTTTTACCGTGAAACTAATTCATCTTATCCTTACTGGAGGTTAAAAACACCAGAGGAACATGAAAGTGAGACTAATATTAAATCCAAAGAAGCCCGTAAATATATATTTAATTGTCTTGATGATATGGCTCAAGTTAACGTTCCAGATTTAGAGGGTAGCGAATTATTGGCTGAAAAAACTGATCGACGTGAATTTATTGATCTATTAAAAAGGATGTTAACCTTAGACCAAGATCGTCGGATTACACCGGGTGAAGCTCTTAATCATAGTTTTGTTACCCTTTACCATTTACCTCAGTATGCACATTGTCAAAATGTTAAAGCCTCGGTCCAAATGATGCAAGTTGTCCGTTCCTCTCGTAATCCAGCACCAAGAATTGCTGCTGCTGCTGCTGCGGCTGCTGAGGCCACATCGAATTCCGTTCGAGCGGCTACATTCAGAGTAGCAGCTCAACAGGCTGCTGCAGTTGAATCATTTCAAGCAGCTGCCCTTTGTGTACCATCAATCCTTTGTCCTCCTGGTGCCCATCAAACTGGATCCTCAGCTCAAGTGCCTCCCAATCCTTATCAGAATCTTAATTCACCGGCTAAACATGTTGTACCCATGGTTGCTGCCGCTCAATCTCAGGGAACAGTTCAATTCCAACCTAGTCTTTTAACGGCACAGTCCTATGTTCCAGCTGTTGCCGTTCAATGGCCTCCGCCACAACCACAAGCACCCGTAGTCACTGGATCAAATAATCATCAGCAAATCTTTGTTGGTAAGTTATCATTTACAATTCTATATTTTTCTAGAATTTTTTCCTTTCTCTTTCACATGCAACAAAATTATCCATTACGCTGGTTCCCTCTCTTCCTTTCCTTCTTTCTTTCTCTCTTCCCTTTTTCCTCTCTCTCTCTCTCTCCTCTTTTTCTCGTTTTCCTTTTTAACTTCTTATTTGTCTTCTTAAATCTCCTCAACCCAAGAGGAAATCAGACATCGCAGCGAAACCATAAAGTTTTGGGCTTGTTCTTTCTATTTTTCCTTCCATCTTCCTCCTCTTTTCTATCTTTTACCTTTTCTACCTTTTTCTTTATTCTCTCAATTTCATCTTTCCATTACTCTCTTTCCACCTTTTACACCTTGTCATACCCATTATACTTCAAGGCGAAACTCTTGAGTATAAATATACACAAAGAATGCTTGTCATAGGGAGGTCGGTATGCATAAGTATAAATGGTGATTAACTTGACTCTCTAAGGAATGACCCGGAATTATTTACCTTAGCAGGAAACTGTAGTTATATTACTTCTGCTTGTTGTATACGGGTCTTATATTATAATATTTATATTCTTTTTCTCTTTCAGCTTTTTCGGTTCTTTGTCTTTCTTTTCTTTCTTTCCTCATATCTTAAGAAGAAAATTCTCTTGAAAGTTATCTTTTTAAATCTTAATAAAAGCGATCCTTTAAACTTGGACAATTTCTTTCTCTTTCTCACTTTTCTCTTCGCTTCATCATTTATTGACAAATCCTTTTATCTATTCATTCATACATTTTATTTTTCTTGTCTTTTTTTTCTATCAATTATCTTTCTTTTCTTATTTAGGCCCATCTATACCACCATGGCAACAGTTTCCTTCAGCGGCTGCTGCTCAACGAGCCGCTTTAGCTGCGATTCAGCAATCTCAGCAACAACAACAACAAAGCGTTCTAGCTGATGAAGCTTGGTCTAAATCTTTTGTATTTGAACGTACAGCAACAATACTTGATCCATCAACTATGATGCCTTTGACTGAGTTAGCGGCATCAACTAATGCAAGTGGCCAGCACACCGTTCAAGCTGCAGAGCAAGCTTATTATGACCATCTAACTCGAGGCGCTGCAGCGGCTGCGGCTGCAGCAGCAAGTGATAGAGGAGGCCTTATGGCAGGAGGACAACAATTACCTGGATCATGGGGTATGGTTCCAGTTCCAGTTTCAGGTCCTGCTCAGCCTGCTCATCAATCGTCCCTTCCACATCAAACTCATCATTTTCGTCAACCCTTACCAGCTCATGGGGCTACTCTATTAGCTGCAATTCCAAGTTCTCAACGAAGGCAAACCATTGCAAATTCTGCTGCAGCTGCAGCAATGGCTATGGCTGCTTATGCTGGTTCATCAAGCAGTTGTTATAATGTCAGTTCGACTGGTAACAATGGTACCGGTGCCCCTGGAGGTCCTGGTGGTTTATCCAGTAGTTCATCAACAAGCAATCTAAATAATTTAAGCCATCATTTAAATAATAACCTAAACACTTCTGGAAATAACAATCATCATCATCTAAGCCATCATAATCACCTTCATGGTGGTAGTAACTTCATTGTCACCAATAATATAAATAATAATAATAATCATAATACTGGTAATCTAAGTAATACTAATAACCTTAGTAACAGTAATAGCAGTAATAACCATAGGCCATCAAGGACCAAAGAATATTCAAACAGTCAACTATCACCTGTCAAAAAGAAAGCTAAAGAATCATCTCCTTCTAAATGGAATGTTAGATCATATGATCCGCTTCTAATGTCTGGCTCATCATCCAGACAATTTCTTGAATCAGGTTACGCTTCGGTTTTAGTCAACAGTCCAAATATCAATTTTGATTCGGATGAGCCTCATAGACCAAGTAAAGGTGTTGTAATCATGAAAAACAGTGGCCTCGGTTCAAGCAATAGTAACAATAATTTAAGTAATTTACCAAACATGAAATTCCAGCAACAAACAAATCCTCCACATCTTCTTGTTTCACACCAACACCAACAGCAACAACAACAACAACAACAACAACAAGCCCAACAACAACAGCACCATCACCAGCAACAACAACAGCATCAGCAGCAGCAACAGCAACAACAACAACAACAACATCAACTTCACCAACAACAACAACCACAGTCACAACCTCAGCCACCACCTCAACAGGCCCATCAACACCAATCAACTCACCAGCAACAACAGCAAGCTTTACATCATCAACAACAGCAACAAATATTACATCAGCAACAACAACCACAATCACTCCAACAACCCTTAACTTCCCAACAATCTCAGCAGATTCAATCACTTCATCACCATCATCATCTTCACCATCATCACCATCCACCAGTACCAGCGCATCATTCACTTTCTTCTGGAAGGTTAACCTTAACTACATCAGATCTTCGGGATGCTAAGAAACAAGGTAACCTTCAAACAATAACACTCGAGGATACACCAAGTCCTGCTGTCAGTGTAATAACAATCTCAGATTCTTCAGAAGAAGAGGAAGATGCTTCTACTAATAACATTAGAGCTAACACTTTACCTGCATCATCAGCAGCCACGGCATCATCTTCATCATTAACCACATCCGCAACCACAACAACCTCTCTTAATCAACACCATCTCCTTAATAACGTTAATATAAATAATAATCTTCACAATCATCATCTACAAGTAACTAACAACAGTAGTCGAACGCTTCATCAAGTGCCAACTTGGTGAACACGATTAACTTTTTATTCATTTAATCTTCATCCACACATACATAATACCCCAACCAATCACACAACCTTAAAAAATCACATCAAATGTAACCTATATATTATCATCATCATCATCACCAAAAAAACCACCTTTAATATTATTAATAATGTCGCTGCTGTGTGACCCAATCCAAATCATCATCATCATCAAGGCCGTCATCATTGTCGTCTAAATTTCAACGAGAAAATCTAGAAAAAAATATAAAAAATCTATAAACAGATGAAAATGATAAAAAAGATAATTTTTTGTGAGTTATATATTTAAAACATGTTTAACTGCTGGAGGATTATATATATACATTATTATTATTATCTATTATTAATATATAACATCTATCGAGGATTGCATTTTATTCCTATTTTGCCCATTTCAACCTCTCTCTCTTTCCTCATCTTCCCTCATCTTTTTTCCTCCCTTTCGCCTCCGGTCCTCTCTCTTCCTTTCTTATTCCCTCTCCTTACTTATTACCTCTGTCTTTCTGTCATTTCTCCTTTCCTTGGTCTTTTCTTTAAGTTTTTTATCTCTTTCTCTCTCTCTCTCTCTCTCTCTCTTCTCTTCATTATCTATTACTCATTTGATATTCAGAAACATGAATTGAAATGAAGTAAACAGAAAAATAAATCTATCATGTAAACACATCTTCACACCCACATTCGAGATGAGAGTTAGAGAGAGAAAGAACTCTGATTACATAAACATAGGGGGGAAATTATGTTACTCAGAACTTTGATCAGTCTCTTCATTATCATCTTTACCCTGCTCCTTTTTTCCCATCTCTCTCTCACACACACAAACCACCTTCCCTTTTTCATTTAACCACTCAATCAATTCATCATCTTTTTCGCCTTTGTTAAAAAATCTCCGGGCTTTCCCTTGGACTATTATACCTAAGGATCACCTTTCATTTATCATCTGATCTCTCTCTCTCTCTCTCTCTCTCTCTCTCTCTCTCTTCCTTCCTTCTTTTTATTCTCCCTTCGTCTATCATTTTTCTTTGTCTTTCTGTCCCCTCTGTCTCTCTATTCTTTATTCTCTTTCAGTCCTATCGAAAAATTATTGTGTCAATGGCTTAAATAAATAGTATTAACTCTTTAATTGGTTACCACAATAACACTCATCATACACTTACATCACATCAACACAACAACAAAAAAACAAGAATAACAACAAAAACCAAAAAAAAGGAATCAAGTAAATTGAGATTAAAGAGATGGACCATGATTAGGTCAAGAAAGATGCTTGTAAATAGTGAAAATGATGTTAAACATCAATAATATACAACAAGAAATAAACAACTATCAAAGCCTTTAGGAAAATATTGATCTTTTCAATTTCATCATCATCTCATCATCATTTTCTCCCTCAACTACCTTTTTCCATGTCTACACTTTCATCACCATCATCTTCATTATCATCATTACCATAAGTTTGACAATTGATTTTCTTTTCTCTTTTTTCATTGTTTTCTCACAATGTTTACTATTTTCTTCTTCTTCTTCTCATCATCGTCATCTTCTAGTTTCGTGTCCAATTGCAAAGAAACAAGTTAATCTCTCAGAAAATGAGTCGATGGAATGAAAAAAAAAACAATAAGGAAAAAAATAACAACAATCAATTGATGAACGCAATTTAGCAATGAAAACATTCACAGTGAAAAAGATATCAGGATGACTACTAAACTAAACTAAACAATCAATGAATGAAGAGATGAAAGAAACGGGAATTTAATTGTTGTCAAATTGTTCTGAGAATCAACAATCAAATCGACGAGCAGAAAAAAAGTCAACGGCAAAATTTAATGATAAAAAAACATCATCATCCACATAATAATAATCATCATCATCAACATGGTATCAAAGAGTGAGAGAGAGAGAGAATGAAAAGTTAAAACTCATCATTACAATCACAATTTACTAATTGTTATCACAAAATGATGACAATGATCCATATTACCGAGACCTCTCAAAATAATAATGCTAATTGATGATAGACACTCACTTATATACTTTCATTTTCATCAATACCAAATTACTACTATTATTTATTGTTATTATTTTACCTTTTTTTTAAATAATTTATCATATATCACCCACTTCCTCCTCCCTTTATCCATCTCCCTCCCACCTCCCACATTTACTATGTACATATTATTTACATTTATATATTCCTATCATTATTATTATTAATATATCATGTTGATGATTATTATTGTTTTCATCGTGGTTCACAATTGGAAATGAATATCAAACAATTTAATGATTACCGATGATAAACAAAACAACAACACATCAATATTAATAATGACGATGTCCAACCTTCACATTATCAATGTCAGTTAACTATCGTTTTTTTTTTGGATAATAACAATAACAATAATAGTAATAACAATTTAAATGATGAGAATCAGTTGATTAGTGTTGATGAAACTTTTTTTTTCTTCTCATTCTGTTGTTGATTAAAAGCAATAACAAGACACTCAATGGATTTTGATTGCAAGTTGAACAAAAAAGTGACTTCTATTGATGTGACAATTTAGATGATTTTTTTTTTCTTCTTATTCTTTAATCATTTAAATTGTTGACAGTTGATAATAGTTGATGACGATGATGATTATCATGATGATGATGATGATTAAAAGGTAGTGTTACTAGTTTTATTAACTATTATCATTATCATTTTCTCGTCTTGGTTGTTGATCACGCAATTGACGAAGAGGAAATATATTGTTGTGTATTCACCTTGAAGAGATGATCAAGTTGAATAATTTGAATTAATATCATTGACGATGATTATGATTAGCTGATTGTTACGATCCATCATTATTATTATTATCAGTTAAATGATTACGTTTACTCAAAAATAATCGTAATAAAATTAAAAGAGATTATTAAATGTTATCAACAATCAAAGTTAAACAATCGTAATGATTTAAGAAAACAGGTAACCAGGTAAACAAATAGCTGATATGGATAATCAAGAAGCCATTTCTTTCATTGCATGATTAAAGTTAATTGTTGAAATTAGGTTACTGATTATGTCCGTTGCATTTACTGTCTTTTCTGGTTTAATTTAATTGTCATTTATATAGAAATTAGATTACATTGATTTACTATTAATGTTTTAATTATTTTAATGTTTCTCTTTATTGTAATATAAATGATCATTTTCAGGTTTCATTTACAGAGTATTACAGGTTAGAGAGAGAGAGAGAGAGAGAGAGAAGACTGAGTTAATTATGATTAATTAATTAGTGTAATTAGCAATTAATATGATTATGGTTTTAGTGATTAAGGGTATTCGTTATTAAATTAGCATTAGGAGTTTGTGTTTTTTTCACTTGTATCAAAAGCATTTGGGTGTTGATATAAATATTGATTGTAAAAGGGAATTGATTGTTGGTTGGATGATTAAATTAATCAATGGTAATCAATTGATTGCCATTTGTTTGATTTGAGTTTTAATTGTAGCAAAAAAAAAATGATGATGATGATTGTTTATGAGATCGTTTGGAAGATGAAGTTGATTTGTTGATGATGAAACAAATTCGTTGATTAGAATCTGATCTAATTAATCCAATCAGGTTTTCTTTTTTTTTCTTAATCCATTTTCAAATGATCAGCTAAATGAGTGATGAGTTAATTTAGTTAATTTTGAGTCTTTTTAATCCGATTTTGTTTTTCTTAAGCTTTTTCATTCCAGAATGGGAGATATGAGTGGGTGATTGTTGTTGATGATGATGATGATTGGGTGGTTATCATTTTGTTGATCATTAGAAGAAAACAAAAATCAAATTAAAATGATTTACGTTTCATTTTAATTGTTGTACCTGCGAGAAAGTTGATTATCATTTGAATAGTTAATTTAAATGGGAAATTGTAACATCATCTGATGAGATTGTTTAAAAGGTGATTAATTGTAAATTGAGGTAAATCCTGTTTAAGTTGATCAGCAAATTGTTGTCCAATTGTTCAACCAAAGTTCAGATAATCAGTTGATTGTTGATTGTTGTTGTTGTTGTTGTTGATAATCAATTGTAAAAAGAAGACAAGAAATTGAATTTAATCAGTTACTCTAATTATTAGAAATTAATTTAAGTTTTCATTGTTTGGATGGTTTAGTTTTTCATTGAAATTAATTAGAATCATAATTTAATTTAATTGTTCAACTCCTAATTTATTAATCATGATTATTACCTCGAGTTTATTATCTGCTCTTTCTTGTTAATCAATGGGAACGGGAAACAATCAGGTTAATTAATGGGAGAAGAAAAAACTTTTTTTTCCTAATTTTTCAAGGAAACGGATTCACAATTAACCCCTTAAGGTTTTAATTATTATCACAATTAATCATTAAATTAATTCAATTTTCACTAAATCATCTCCATTGATATTTAATCAAATTATCGGGATAACAATTAACACTGATAGAAACATAAACTGAGACTCTAATTGATTGATAAACTTTTTCTCTCAGTTAATTGTGATTAAACTACTCAACGTGATTAACTGGATTCAATATCCGTTTGATTTGTGTGTTTGAAAGTCATTTAATTGTTGTAATTACTGTTATTGATAAACGTTGACAATTTAACTAACTCACACAATTGCCTGTAACTCTTAATCATTATGATTATATTACTATTGCCTTTAATCACTTGTCATGACTGTCAAAGTAATTATAATTATAATATATTGGACCATTGAAATTAATACAATTAAGGAAAAAGCAAAAAATTAGTTGATTGTAGTAACAGAGTTAATAATGAAAAAGTGCATATATGAAATGAAGAGATTTGGTAAATAAATTAATGGTTAATTGTTGATTCTATTACATGGTAACAGTTTCAATTAGATTGCTGATTGAATTACTGTTAATTTTTTGTTTCTTTCCACAATTTGATTAGTATTACAGATTGACGATAATCAGTTTTAATAATTATTATAATTATATAGTATTGATTATGCTAAATCATTTATAAACAATTAAAGGTTATTGATTTAGCTAAACCATTGAGCTTAATTATGATGACGATGATTAAGTTGATGTTGATTATGATAAGGTAATAATATTATCATTGACCTTTAATGGACTTTATCAATATCATCATCATCATCATCATTATCATTATCATCTTCATCTTTATTTACAATTAATACGGTTAATTTGATCATTATTGTCAATGGTGGTAATTAAGGTGATGATTAAAATAAATTAATGAATTAATATATATATATTAATTTGTGATTTTCTATCTCTATAGTTATATATAAATATATACTTATAATTAAATTCAGTTGCAATGAGATCACAACATTTGATTAAATTGTTTGACTTTGTTGATGACGATCACAAGAAGAGTTAATCAAGGTTGACAATTTAATAACTACAATTTAACTTGGTGGTGGTTTAGCTGGTTTTTTTGGTGTTAGTTAAATGTTTGGTTGATTAGTTTGATTTTTACAATTAAGCAGGAGAAAAAGGGATAATTAGTTAATCATTAAACTAAAGGGATGTTTGTTTAAATACGAGGAGAGTATTAATTAGTTGATGATTAAGATTTTGATGATAAGTTTGATGGTGGATTGAGTTGGATTAATTTTAAATGAATTTGTATATGTTTATGTTAATCAATGAGGTTGATTGTTGTTAATTGTTGTTGTTTTATCAGCGTTAGTAAAAGGATTGAGAGAGAGAGAGAGAGAGAGAAGATAATTGTTGTTGATTAAAGTATCTGATTAGAATAATTTAAATTGTAATTGGAATTGTAAATAAATTGGAATATATATTTTCTCTCTGAATCTGATAACTTTTTTTTTCGCTTCAATTTGTTACGATTGAAATTAAGAAAAAAAATTTGTTTTCTCACTATGATTCGGTTAATTTTCGGGTGATCGTTAACAACAGGCTTAAGGCCATTAGTATCATGTTAGTCTTACAGATTATCGCATGACTGTAAACAGCGGCAGCAAGGTCACGATGGTCAAATCTACCATGAATTGTCCATTCTTTGTCCTCTTCACCGGATGAGATTCTTGAATCATGATGATTCCCATTTTTACCAGAAGATGAGGATAAACTAGAACCAGAAATTGTACCAATTGATCCTGAATCGGATTGAATTTGTGACGATGATGAGGAAGATGATGCTGCCGATGATTCAAGATCTTGATCCATAGTGTTGGACATTAAAGCTCCAATAAACTTTGATCTATTCTGACCTGAGATCAGACTACCACGGAAAGGTGAGTTGGCAGCCGATTTACAATCAAACCACCAAACAGAGGTTTGTCTTGGGAACGGCGGCTTAGCTGAACTGTCAACCTACAAGAGTAAAAGTTTGAATAACAAAAAAAAAGGTCAAATGAAAAGTTCAAATGAGATTTCATGATATTGAATGAAAGCAAAAAATGAGCCAATTTAATGGTAAAAATAGTTAAACAATCAACGAAACAATAACAAGAATCTATGTAAATATTATCTCCATATATTAGATTACCATCACAACTCCCACCACATCATTGATAAACTTGAAGTAATTCTGGTGATGAGGTGTGTCAATAGACTATTGTTATTATTATCCAAATGAAAACAATAACAACCTTTCACTTGATTGTTTAATATTCAAATAGTTAATTGTTACCAATGGTAAATGAACAAACGAAACAAAAAATTTGATAAAAAACAATCATCACTTTGGGTTAACTTTTAATGTCAAAAGATGATGATGTTTGATTGTTTTCATTGTTTCCCCACCAAACCAATGGATACACAATCAACTTAATCATGTGTAATTAATTATCATTCAAAACTTAATGCAAGTAAAAACAAAAGCAAATGATTTAATCATATGGATTCATAAATCAATTTCCTTTTTCTGATTGTATTTGATTTTGATTGAATGGTGAATAGAGATGATCTTATCCATGATAACTATTGATTTTCATATTATCATTTTCTGATTTAACTTCTAATAGATTGAAACAAGAGATTAATGGATTAATTTACCTCGAAATCGTTGTCATTGAATCGATAATAATTGGTTCCCTTGAAGAAATAAGTTAATCCGTTTTCCCATTTGAAAGCGGCATCAATGTTACTCGGTAATCCGACCCAGTTTTTAATCGGCTTTGGATAACGGCTACTCACTGGTGGGTCATTTTTACTATCGAATCGCCAATACAATTTATCTTAAGAATTGAGAAAATTTTAAGGGAAAATGTTAAAAATTAGACGACCATTTGTGACAATTAGTTAATTGTTACAGCGATATTAACCTTTGAAGAAATAAGTTTTTCCATTTCCACTCCAAACAAATGCGGTGTCAATGTTATTTGGTATTCCAGCAAATCCGAGAGAGATATTCTTTGGATACCCTGAGTCCATTTTACGATTATGGAAACGCCAATAATTATTACCCTGGAAAGAAAAATTAACAACAATTAGAATGATAGTCGATTGAATGTTGGAACTTTTTCTCAGTTTGAATTTGCCACTTCTTTGTTTGATTGATTTTCTTGATCAGCGATTTGATTTTTTTTTCATTTTAGAAAATTTCGAAAACAATCTAATTGATTTCGTTTTTTTCAGATTCAATTAAGTATCTCAATTGACTGATCTTTCCAAACAATATGATCTGTTGGTTGATTTACTGGGAATTGTGATTGACCTGTCGAATCTTTTTCTTTGGTAGAAATATTTTGATCACCGATTGATCGATTTGCAGATTGTTCAGTAACTTTACCTTGAAAATGAAGGTTTTTCCATCGGCCCAAGTGAGAGCAGCGTCAATGTCCCCTGGAAGACCATCCCAATCATCGGAGATTCTTCTTGGATAACCATCGGCCAGGCCGTTAGTTTCAACTTTCCAATAATGTTTTCCTTTAAAGACATAAGTGGTCCCATCGGCGATTCTGGTAACAGCGTCAATCCGTCCATCTTGACAAAGATCTGGAGCATCAGAAATATCTGGTTCAGGAGTTGATCCAGGAAATTTAGGTGGAGGTGGAGGAGAGTATGGTGTTTCTTTAGGTGGTGCCGTTGTTTGTGGTTCAGTCCTAGGTCCATATAAAGATTGAATACCAAGAATATCATCTTTAGATAATCTGAAATTTGGCTTATATCGTTGATAAAAGGAGCCATCAAAGATTCCCGTGTTGAACTATGGCCTAAACCCAATGAATGTCCCAATTCATGAGCTGCTACTTGAAATAAATTAGTTCCTGTATATGAATCAATAGTCCAATATTCTTCATCGTCGAAATGAGCATCCCACCATATTGAGGGAAATAAGCGTGAGCCAAAGTGTTTCCAGGTCCATCGAAAGGATCACCATCTCCATGTTCACCGACGACAAACTTAATATCAATATGAACTCGACCATCTTTCTTGGGGATGAAATTCAACGGAGTTACTTCAGACCAAACTTGAAAAGCTCGAGCAATTTCGGTATCAATTTGACTTTTCTTCACTTTTCTTGGATACTTGGAGATTCGATATGTAAGATCAGTTCTTCGCCATTTACTTCCTAAGAACACAAAAAGAAAACAAGAAAATATCAGAATATAAAATTCTCGAACAAAAATATTCTCCAGTGAAGATGATTGGAATTTTCTTCCTCCTCTCTTAAAGATCACTAATTAAAGCTCATTAATTAATAATATTTTCTTTTCCATTCTCACAACAGAATCTTCAAAGCTAATCAATCAGCACAATGGCAATTTAAATCCACTGGTAACCAGAAATTCATTGCAAACTCAACAGATTCAATATTCATTGGTGACAATTAATCAATGACAATCAAACTTATATGTTATCACAAGGAATCATCAGATCATCAGAAAATATTTGATATGAAAGATTTAAATTGTCTATCATGTCACGATTACTTGAATTGCTGATTCTTTAATTCAATTACCCTCAACACTGTAATATTAATGGGGAAACGAGAGGATTGATCACTTTATATAATTTCATCATCATTAAGATATCAATTATGGCAATCAAACAGGCAATGGCTTCTTAATCACAATCATTAAGTTTCAATCAATCCTGGATCATCATTACAATGAACAATTTACTCAATGTTTCTGGTTGATGAACTTTTCGTTTAATATCTGATATAATTTCACTACTAGTTTAATATCTTTGAACAATCAATCAGGATTTTAATTTGTCAAATTGTCTTTGTTCAAATTAATCATGATTACTAATCAGATTTTGATCATTGATTCCTGTTCATGTAATAATGAATCTCTTTGGTTAATGATTGACAACTATTGATGTATCATCATCTTTATATTAACTGTTATCTGAATGATTAAATTAAAATTTACTGCTAATCATGTAATCAATAATCTGGTCAACTAATCAGTGAAAAAAGTGATAATTAATTGGCCAAAGGCGATTGTATCATAAATTAAGATGAAATCATGATGATGACCAATGAACTTTTTGTCTATAAGTTCATTGATTTACCCAGAAAGTGAAAATTTAAAACGGAAAAACTTTTAATTTTTTGATTAATTTCAATCAAATTATCATGATATTTTCATCAGCAATCAAGATCATCGAACCTAAATCAATATCAATCAAATGAAAGATGATCCTACAAAAGTTAATCAATATCTAGTATTTATTTTAACGATTACCTTTGTATTTACCTAATTTTCAATCATTTACTAATCGGATTAACAATCAACAAAAGGTAAGAGTTAAAAGGTTAGATAATATAAGTAAATGGCCATTTATGGTCAAGAATTTTAGACAAAATCTTGAAGAATATTATTTCAAATTATCCTCTTCATCTTCATCATCCTCCTCCACATCCTCCAGGTTAATCTTCAAGTTGATGAAAAGATATCAGGTAAATGATGATCATCTCACCTGGATGACCATTCATACCTGAATCAAGTATAATGATCAGAGATGTTAAAAGATAAAGTTGAAAGTCTTACTAAATTGATGCAAATTATTTTGAGAAGAAGTTTTTTTCTCTAAACAATCAACTGAAATGATGATGATGATGATGATAATCTACTCTCTTCTCTTTCTTTATCGTCCCTCTTGGACCTTGAATATGAAACTAATACAAAGTTAATTCAAATTCAAGTCTCAACGAACAGAAAACTGAATATCTTTAACTTTTGTTAACATCTAGATGTTAACAAACCAATGGGAAACTTGCCTTCCATTGGTATGGTTAATTTAGTTAATTTCTGACGAGAAAAACTGACAATTAGTTAATAAAGACAATGTAACCTTGATTCTTTACCTTTTCATTTTCATCATCATCATCATCACCATCATTATCCTCTGTCATCTTATGTTGATTAGTTTTTAATCATTTTCTATGCTTCATTTGATTATCTTGATTTAACATTTACTAATCAATTGGAAACATCAAATTAATCAATATATTTATGGAAACCTTTTTTTCTCAACCTAATCAATCAATTAAAATTAACCATTCACTCGTTAATTGTCTGACGATTTTAAACAATCTTATCATTAAGTTAATTGTAACAATTATCAATGTTATTTTATATTAAATCCAGTTAATCTGGATAATGTTTAAATAATGAAACTTATTGTCAATGTTATGATAGTTAATTGTTGTGTTAATTTTTTCACAACCTTGATGATCAATTTTTAATCAGTTGATGATTCTGATGACTATTTCTAGGAACCCTAAACAATTAATAAAAGTGTTTTTTTTTCTTGATTGTGTTTGCAAATCAATCCAACCATGAATGTGAGCAATTAACATTTCATTGAAATGATAAGCTAAATTTTGATTGTTACTCGATAATGATCATAATTATCTCAACTGATTTACAATTAATCAACTAAATTTGTGTTTATGGAGGGAAAATATAGTTTCCAATGAATAACAAAATCTAATTCAACATTGTGACAATATAAATATTGAGGTAAATTGTGAGTTTACTGTTGATTGAATGAGTGATAATGATTGTGATTCTGTTAATTGTTACGTTTGAAAATGATGATAATGGTGATGACAATGATGCTAAATAAATGAGTACATTGAACAAGGTCAAAGAAACATGAAAAATGACAAAAATCTTTGGAAAAAAAGTTCATTCTCAGAATCAAATGAATTTCTCATGTAATGAAATGAAAAGTTTTCACTTTCTTTTCAACACTTTAGCCTCAATGTTTGTTTATCTTTTTCATTACTAATCATCAAGACCTTTATCTATTATCATCTTGTCATCATCATCATCATTTGATCTCATTTTCTCTTTCATTATCATCCATGGCATTAATTCATTGTTATATCATGATTTTCACACGATTTTCATTCATCACTATTCTGATTTATATAATGACAACAACGAAAATCATTTACAATGATTCCTGTTCAATGTTGATTTTTTTTCTCTCTCCAATGTAAATGATTTGCTAGAACTAATTGTTAACAATTGGGAATTAAAATTCACTGGAATCAAAAGTTTCGTTTCTCTTTTTTTTTCGAACGCCAATTTTTACCTTGTAATGCATATCGTTTCCGCCGACGAGCGTGTTCAGCTTGACCATTATGGTCCTTGTTTCCGCATCGAGGTGTATTCATCATCAATATTGTCTCTTCATCAAGAAGACCTGTTGATCAGTTTAATTGGATAGAAAGAGAAAAAGAAACAATTAGTTTTAATTGTAGGTCCAAATTTCTGCGAACGAACTGAAATCGAGTGGGTAAACTTTTACTCTTGACTTTTAATTCAATCAAAGTTGATTGATTAAGTTGATTGTCACTTGGTTCCTTAATTGTTGATATACTTACCTGTCTCATTAATTCCTGAAAATCTTTGGAAATCCTTAATTGCATCTTGATAAGTATCGATTGCAATTAAATTAGCAGCTCCTAAACTTTCATTCATATAACCGAATCGTTGTAAATATATCTGGAAGAAATTAACAGCAATTAAACATTACAATTTAATTTGAGAAAAATTTTCCATCCCAAAAGCAATATAATCGGTAACGAGTTGACAATCAATCGGTAATTAAGGGATTTCTTTTATATTTAAATTGTCAACCAATCAACCAAAACTTTCACAGTGATCAGTTGATTAATCTGGAATCTTGTTGATTGTTGATTTAATTTACCATCTAAATTAAAGGTTTACCCAATCAAATTGAAAGCTTAATCAATCTACTATGAGGTAAAGTGATTTATTCATTCAGACAATTTAGAAATAATCACCATCATTAGGATTTAATAACAATGGTAATTTAATTTATCTCTTGGTAATTTACTTTGTATTTGAAAAATTAAATGAAGGACATTGTGAGAATTAAAAATAAATAAAAGTTGATTTAAATTCACAACAGTTAATTGTTATTCTAGTGGTTGAAAAATTAACTTGATTATCATTTATCAACATTAACTTTACTAATGAAGATAATAGTTAATAATGATAATGATAATAAGCTCTCCTGGTGATTCTGTTTAAATGTAATTAATAAATTGTTGAAAATTAGTAAAATTAATTTTCTAAATTTCCAAAGATGATCAAGATTGTAAAGTCCATTGTAATTTGTAAAGTAAACAAAGATTATTAATAGTAATCAAATCTAATTACTTGAGACAATGGACCATTTATCTTGATAGTTTCAAGAATTGATTATAATCACAGTGAAGACAATTAACTTTAATTGTAATGGAAAAGTGAAACATATTCATCATTCGTATTATATTTTATTGGAAAATAAGATTAGTCTCTCTGATTAAATGTTGGACAATCAATCAGATTACTGATTGTTTATCCATTAGTGTATCCATTTGATTGTTAATTGTCCTAATTGTTAGCGGATTAGAGTTGATTAACAAAAAGTGTAACCGGTTCTGTAACTGTAACTAAAAATTATCCATTTTCCTTAGATTAACTCGAATAACTATTGATCAATCTAAATTACAGTTTAATCAAGGATAAATTAACATCATCTTAATCACTATTAATGGTTATTAACTTGACTGATGCCCTGTGAAGGTCAATCAGCAAGGGAAACCATTGGTACTTTTTGTAGTTTCAAATTAAAAGTAAACTGCCCAACCCAATTGTTGATGATGATGATGTTTCAAGATGATTATTATGTGATGATAATGATGATGATGATGTTGTTAATGTTGATTATGGGATTATCATCAATTTGATTTGCTTTGTAATTTATATTATATTGGGAAGATTCCTTGAGATTTGTTTTTCCTCTTGTGTGTATACACACAACTGCACTTATCCAGGTAAATAAATATAACTATTTCATGTTGATTACCAATTATCGTTATAAATAACTTGCTTAACAGGCATTGATTATTATCTAAATGGTGGTGATGATGATGATAAATCCATTGGTCAATTGAAATATTAATGATTAGATCATCAAGTTATATTATCATGGATCAGATAATAATCAAAGAGGATAATCCATTTTTCAATTGCAACCGATTGACTAACCCAAAACAAATCAACAAGTTAATACAAATGATCAACAACAAAAGCCAATGATCACAATCAGATTGACAATCATGACTATGGAATCAGAGTGTTTAATCATGGAGGAAAATTTTCATCAAAGATCAGATTTTCAAGAAACATATTAATAATAACAGGAAGTAGAAAGAGTTTTGAGAAAACAAAAAGAAATCAAAAAATTGTGATGATTAAAAAGAAGAAGATTTTGATTGAAAAAAAAACGCTAAATAGTATTAAGGAAGTTAAAGAGTAAAACTAATTAGTTGTCATATTATGTTTACAGTAACTCGATGATTAAGGTGAAAAATGAGTAATCACAAATGAAATTAAGTCACAGAGAGTAATTAACAATTAAGATAATTGAAAAGGTCAACTAAATGTAAACAGAATTGCGATCAGCTGGTGGTAACCATGGTTACCATTCATCTTCCTGTTTTCGCGGTTAAAACTCAATTACATGAGAAAATGAGATTAATCATTTTCTTAATCTTTTCTTTTTTTATTCTTCTTTAGTTCAAATTAACTGGTTTTCTCTTTCTTTTATTTTCCGTCTGTGACCTTGATCTTCAGGTTTCTCTTTCTTTACCTGTTGAAAGGAAATTCTGATCCTCTGCCTTTTCCTGTGTTTCTTTTTTTGGGTGTTGGCTTTTGTTTTTTTTTTGTTCCTTCTTCTTGTGTGTGGGTTGAAAACACGGAAATTATGGTTCACCTTTATAATTTTAGAATTAGTTAACTAATTGTTAACATTGTAACTCCAATAGATGAACAATCTTGGTCATTTTTTTCTGGAATCTCTCATGTTACCTGTTTCATGGTTTACATCATCATCTCCATCATGATGGGTCATGATTACAACCTTATGGATACATGACAAGGTTAATATATTTTGATGGACATTTACTGATTTTGTCTCATCATCATCAACATTTTCTGCTTGATTAACCAATTAGGTTTGTTCTTTAAGAAACAAATTGGATACTTAAGGTAATTCGCTTTTCTAATATTCTATTTTCTCTCCATTTGGCTTAATTGTGTATTCTTTTGGTTTTTGTTTTCTTCTATTCTTTTCTAATTTAGAAAATATTCACTTCATATTCTATAGACTGTCAACTGATTGTTTCTAAATTGGAAGTGATTGTGATTAATTTTTTTTCTATCTTCTTCTAAATCGATTGATGGTTAATGATTTGTGGAAACAAGGGAATCAATTAATTGGCATAAAAACTTAGTCATATTCCTGATATTCCATGAGAGATGAAATAATCCAAAGTGAACAACCATTAAAGGACATTAACCATGGAAATTTTTGGAGAAAAGAAGAAAATTTGATCAAATTTTAACCATGATAATCAATTAATTGCTGTTGATGATCAATTTTCTATTGTTCCTGCTGATAGACTTGATTGGATAAGGAAACTCTGTTGGAGATTTAAAAATTTACATCATTTTATTTGATCATTCAATCAACTCGGTGATTAAAATCTACGTCTGGTCAATATCTAATTCATCTCAGATTCTAACAATTAGATGATCATCATAATCAACAAATCTCATTGATTATCGTTCAGTTTAACAAGGTGATCATTCTGATTGTCACAACCATTTGATTGCACCCAACTTTCTGTTTCCTTATTCTGCCCATTTCCTAATTAAATTGCAAAAATGTAAACAATAGACCAATTGAATTAATAACTGTTAACCCTTTTTATTGTTATTAACCATCAATTGCTGTTAATTGTTTGTATTTTACTCAAGTGCAATTACCTTATCAATCTCCATATAAATTACACTGTCTTCGGCTAATAGACATGAAAAATGATATCATGTTGTTAATTTTAATTTTCTTCTCTTTTACAATTTAGGTTTGAAATTTTGTTCTATTCTATTCCAATGAGATTTATCATCCTCCCAATTCTTGGTTATTCATCAGCATCAGAATCTTTTTTGCTTCTTCCTGATCATCTTCTCATGGAAAAGGTCAAAAATCGGATACAGAGATTTGTTCATTCAACTTATTATCACAATGGCGATTTCCTTATATTTCAGATTTGACAGTTTGATGAGCAAAAAATTTGATTGTTGTGAAAAAAATGAAAATAGATTAACGGAAATTGAATTTAATTACCACTCGTATCAAAATCTACGTGATGTTACAATTTAATTATTACCTGAACATTGACATTGATTGTGATCTAATTTAACTGGTTAAAATTAATCTCTAATTTTGTAATCATATTATTAGATTTAAATTCAAGTTTGATTATTGTTACACTTTTTGTGTGACAATTAACATCATCCTTTCATTAATTACAATTGATTTAAATATCTTAATGTCCTTCATTGGATTTAAATAATTTATCCTCACTCTAAATGAATTTACAATTTACTTAACATAGTTTCAAATTGTTACAATTAAAGTTATGCTAATCGTAAATTGTAACTTTATGTACAATTAACTTGAAGACTTTTTTTTTAAAATTTGCTTTAATCATTTTAATCCATTAGGTTGATTATCATGATGATAATTAACTAAATTTATTGAAACATTTCAATGTCATCAAGATGATAAAAAGGTATTTTCTCAACATTAAGGTCACAATTACATTTAAATTATAACCAAATTAATGATTAAATCCAAAATCAACAATTAGCTGGAAATTATAAATCAATGGATGTCCTTTTAATCAATTGAATAAGAAAAGATTAAAAAATAATGATAACTAGTTAATTGTTCAATTGCTGTTGGTTGGCAAAGTATTTTGATTATAAGAATTAAACAAAACAATTAAACTACCCAGACAATTGAAGGTTATAAATAATGAAGCAAATACAAAATTAACAATCAACAATCAACAAGCAAATCAAAAATCAGAAACTAAATTGGTCAACAAATAATCAACTGATTAAAAGTTTAGGTGAATAACCTGAATTGATCAACTGATCAAATCAATTAACAGTTATAAGGATATGAACTTGATTGTACAAAGAAAAAGTAAAAGTAATAGAGAGTAAATTGATGAGTACAATTAGTTAATTGTTGATGGAAAAATAAACAATAAAGATGAGGAATAAGAATAAGAAACCTTGACCTTGAGAGAGAGAGAAACAGAATCTCAATCAATTGACCGGTTATCTTTTCCGTTGCTCATCCAACGGTACTTACACCCTGAGGGAAGATGAGTAAGATGAGGATGAGGATGAAGATAATTATCATTAACAGTACAAGTGTTATTATCTCTCACGTAGCGGTTTCTTTCAAGAACTTAGTGAAATAGTAATAGTCTTCCCAGTGAGAGTTTATTGGCTTCGAATCGGTTCCTTGTTTGAGGTCAATCATCTTTCCGATACACCTACGGATTCTTAGAACCCTTTACTTGTCTTCATCCTCATCTCATCCTCATCCCTCTCATCAACATACTCATCGTTTTCTCTTTAGGTTGATGCTCTTTTTTTTCTTTTTTCACTCATCAATTTTTTTATTCTTCTCTTCCCTGATCATGATCTTCTTCCTGGGGGATAATTTACTTTCAGAATACTGGTCAATATTGTAATGAAGTTCCATTCTGATTACTATTATTACCGAATCATTTTTCATTTTATCAATAAACAGAATCAAAAAATGAATGAGATTTTCATTGTTTTCTCATTGGAACCTGTTCAGATTATCATGATGATGCTGATGATCATCATCATCATCATCAAGACGAGAGAGAGAGAGAGGATGATAAGTGAATGAAAAGTGAAATGATCTCAACATGATCTTTTAATATGTAATATTATTAGTAAATAAGGAAACAAAAAGGTTGCTGATCTTGTAGTTGATTGTAATTGTTGTAAAATTTAAAACACTTTTTTCATTAACAATTAGTTATTATTATTATCATTGATTGTTATTGTTTCTACACTTTCTCTCTCTTTCTCTTTCTTTCTCTTCTTCCTCATCTTTTCAATATTTACCTTTATTAACCCTGAAGGTGATTATGATTACAATCAAGGTGAGTCTCTGATAAATTTAAGCCTCACGAAACAAGTTAATTAACGTTTATGCTGTTGATTCATCATCATTAATCTTAACCTGTTAATTCCTACATTGGTTAACTAATCAACTAACTGGTCTTCCTTAATTCTTCCTGATTATCAGTATTATCAACACTTCCTGATAATCAACAAACTTAAACAGTTAACCAATTTAACGCCCTTGCCCCAATAAACGATCAAAGATAAACTATCAACATGGTAACCTGACTATTATTAAACCCGAAAAAAAAAGTAATTGCTAATTTATAAATCCACTATTGGAGTAAACAATTTATCAGATTAATGATTATTTCAGGAAATAACATAATTCCGATTTACACTTAATCATATTGATTAATCAAATATACAAAACTTTCAAGTTCAACTTTGATAACACAGAAAAATTTATTTCTGGGTTTTGATACTTGAAAATAATTCAAACAATCAACTGATTATTTATGTATTACCTAAATTGTTGTAAAGGTAAATAGAGAGTAAATCAAATCCTAAATCGAAAATAATTAAAATCTTTGTTTTCTCACGTCTAATTAAAAGAAGGATCAACAAGGAAAATATTAAACATGACAATTAATTACAATCATCATCATCATCATGATCATTATTAAATTCAACCTTAATCAAGGACAATTGATTGAGAAACAATCTGATTGTTTGGGATTGGGTTAATCACATATACGTTGATTGGTAAATTAGTATTGGTAGAAACAATAAATTGTTTGATTGTTTCATTTACTTATCACAAACATTGAAATGGTGATCAGATAATCAATGAACTAATCTAAATTGATGAATTACTATCATCACCGATAATATTGATTTGGTATTACTTAAATTGTTTAGAGTGGAAAAAGTAACAATTAACTTACCATGGCATTGATATCGTTGGTAATTGGACTTGGCTCACCGGTAACAGTTTTACAAACCAATACTAAAGTGAATAGCAATTTAAATATTAGGCTAATTGTGTTACTGTCCATGGTCATTAGATGGACGGAAGGACAATTTAAATAGATTTAATTTGATGTGTATAAAGAAAAGGATTAAATGTAAAAAGAAAAGAGATTGAAGGATAAATTGGAAGGCAGTTAATTAGTTAATCTCTCGACAATGGTGATGAAGATGAAGAAGAAGAAGAAGAAAAGTTTTGATGAGAAATTGAGTTACAACTTTTCTCTTTCTTTTCTCTTTCTGACCAAGTCCTTTTTCGCTTGATTGTGGTTATTAAGTTAATTGCTGTTGATCCAACGTTAAGTTGATTGTTGTCAATGACATTGACTTGAGACTTTGCAGTTTTCACGAGAAAAGTTTTTTCGTAACAATTTTTTTTTCTGTAAAAATTTCTTTCAATTTATATAAGTAACAAAAACAAATTCTAAAAAAGAAAATAAATTAAACTTTTTGATAAACTTTAGAATATTATTTTTGGATAATAATCACATTAGAAGAAAAGTTTTCAACATACATATAAATAGAGAAGATTAATAAGAAAATGATGAGGATGAGGATGAAGAAGATCACAGTTTAGGTTGAACAGGATCAACAGTTATAACCGAACACTTCTGGTTGGCCCTTTCTTTTACCTAGAAAATGAATACATCATGAGGGAGACAAATTCTGAAAAAAATACAACACAGTGGCAAAAGTGAGAAGATGATGATGATAAAAAGGGAGAGAAATATGAAAAGAAGAGAGGAAGAGAAGGAGAGAGAGAGAGAGAGCGCGAGGGGGAATTCAGGTAGACAGGTATGATAGACAGAGAGAGATTATTCTGGTTCGGGTTGTGTTACACCACAACTTTTCCAACTCACGCCCCACCCTCATTCCTCATCCACCATTCAAGAAGATTGGAAGAGTAAAAAGAAATGTAGATTCTTGTAGCATCTTAGTTGTTTCAATTCCAATGAGTTAGAACTGAATTTTATTTATTCATTTGATTGTCTTTTTCTTGGATCAATCGATTACATTTAGTTAGGATTATTGTTTCAAGGTCAACATATGATTGGAGAGTTAAATGAAATAAAAGTTGAGTAAATGTCGATGGTGAATTTGGATGGACTTTTCTACTTGTTTCCGTTCGTAGTCCGGGTCACTTGTTGATTCTCTTCTGTCGTCGATTCGTTCGGTGTTTATTAAATGTTGACGAGCTCGAAAAGCGGCCAAATGAGCATATTGAACGGGCGCTGGAATACTAATAACTCGAGTACATTTAACGTAAATGTGACAAAGATGAAAAGTCAACAGGTAGAGATCATTGAGTTGGAAATTGTTCTCGTCAACTAAAATGTGATAATGACTCGGCTTTGATGTTCCCTGTAAAGATGAGATAATTATTGAGATTGTTGATTAGTTTTGGAGATTTTTGATCGATTATGACAATTTGATTAATTTATACTTACCAGTGAACTTGAGTGACTACAAAGATAGAAATCGGATCCATCGTTTGTGGCAACGATTTTTTGATTAACCAAAGTTCCTGATGGGACATTTTTCGCTTTGCCATCGCTCTCTTCTTGGTTCTCAGGCTTAAGTCGAGTGTGATGCCGCTTTTGTACAACTATTAGAGTAACGGATGGTCGATAAGTAGACTTTAAATTGTACTTTCTCATTAATCTATCAAATGCCTCGGGCATTCTTCCGATCTCTTTTTCCAATACCATTGAAAATTGACCTGTTGAAGCAGAAACAAAGATGAAAAACATGTAAAAGGATCATGCAAGTAAACAATTGAGGAATATTTGGAATAAAGTTTTTCAGTGCTATATTATGACAAAAGATGTGCAGTTAGTGCGATCTAAGAGAAATACAGATATTGATGAAAAACAACTTCCTATTAGATTTAGTATTAGACAACACACTTAGTATTAAATCATTGTACAGCAAAAGACTAAGTTTGCAGCCATTTTTAAATATTTCACGCTATTGAATATAATCAATGAGAGATACAGTTAATCCATAGATATGATGAAGCATACTGTCCACTAATTTAACGATTTAGTCTTAAAATGGTCAACTGATTGGATATGAAAAGGTATCTATACTTGATGATCATTAACTGTGCGTATGATTACGAAAATAGTTGCAAACTTTGGCTGTATAATGTTGTTGGTACCACCAAGTTTAGCATTCATCTTGAGGAAAATATTAGATAGTATGAAAAACCCTTTATCGTTGATTGAAATTTTTAAATTAGATTCAACAACACACTGAGTATTGAATCCATACTCAACATCACCATATCTCTTGATTTCATGATAAATACTATCATCTTTAGATCGAGTAATGATGAACATGATAAGATGAGGAAGATCAATTTTTCTATCACGATATTGGTTGTAGATATTTTTCAGAACTTTTCTAACGGCGACATTATCATATCTGATCGAATGTCCACCTTCCCAATAAACTGGTTCTCCGATTTTAGCTCCTTTGTCTTCACCAAATGATTGTAGTTTGGAGACGAATTGGTTGATCAAAGATGAACTTTGTTGAGTAAAATTGACGATAAACCAACGATGATTGGGAATGTTGATTCCTTTGGAGATTTTCTTGTCTTTGATGCTCCATTTTCCAGATTCAGGAGTAAATGATTCACTTTTACACGATAATTTAGGAACATCTAAACAAAATCCTTCGATTTGAATCTATCGTCACAATCTTAAGCACAGGATTTGATTGAAGTGAGTCAATTCTTGTTGATTTAAAGTCCGTGGTTGTTGTTTAGCGACCAATTGACAAACTTCCAAAGGAGAGAATGAAAAAGAGAAGAACGAAAGAGAGAGAGAACGAAAGAGAAAGAGAATGGAAGAGAGAGAGAATGAAGAGAGAGAGAATATAAGAGAGAGAATGAAGAGAGAGAGAGAATGAAGAGAGAGAGAGAGAGAGAATGGAAGAGAGAGAGAGAGAGAATGAAAGAGAGAGAGAATGAAAGAGAGAGAGAATGAAAGAGAGAGAGAATGAAAGAGAGAGAGAACGAAAGAGAAAGAGAATGGAAGAGAGAGAGAACGAAAGAGAGAGAATATAAGAGAGAGAGAGAATGAAAGAGAGAGAGAGAGAATGGAAGAGAGAGAGAGAGAGAGAATGAAGAGAGAGAGAGAGAGAATGAAGAGAGAGAGAGAGAGAATGAAAGAGAGAGAGAATGAAAGAGAGAGAGAATGAAAGAGAGAGAGAATGAAAGAGAGAGAGAATGAAGAGAGAGAGAGAGAATAGAGAGAGAGAACGAGAGAGAGAGAGAATAAGAGAGAATGAAGAGAGAGAGAGAGAATGGAAGAGAGAGAGAGAGAGAAGAGAGAGAGAATGAAGAGAGAGAGAGAATGAAAGAGAGAGAGAATGAAAGAGAGAGAGAATGAAGAGAGAGAGAGAATATAAGAGAGAGAGAACGAGAGAGAGAGAGAGAGAATATAAGAGAGAGAGAGAATGAAAGAAAGAGAGAATGAAAGAGAGAGAATATAAGAGAGAGAGAATGAAGAGAGAGAGAGAATATAAGAGAGAGAGAATGAAAGAAAGAGAGAATGAAGAGAGAGAATGAGAGAGAGAGAGAAGAGAGAGAGAGAGAATGGAAGAGAGAGAGAGAGAGAGGAAGAGAGAGAGAGAGATGAAGAGAGAGAGAATGAAGAGAGAGAAGAGAGAATATAAGAGAGAGAGAATGAAAGAAAGATAGATAGCCAGAATTCTTGTAACATCTTATTTGTTTCAATTCCAATGAGTTAGAACTGAATTTTATTTATTCATTTGATTGTCTTTTTCTTGGATCAATCGATTACATTTAGTTAGGATTATTGTTTCAAGGTCAACATATGATTGGAGAGTTAAATGAAATAAAAGTTGAGCAAATGTCGATGGTGAATTTGGATGGACTTTTCTACTTGTTTCCGTTCGTAGTCCGGGTCACTTGTTGATTCTCTTCTGTCGTCGATTCGTTCGGTGTTTATTAAATGTTGACGAGCTCGAAAAGCGGCCAAATGAGCATATTGAACGGGCGCTGGAATACTAATAACTCGAGTACATTTAACGTAAATGTGACAAAGATGAAAAGTCAACAGGTAGAGATCATTGAGTTGGAAATTGTTCTCGTCAATTAAAATGTGATAATGACTCGGCTTTGATGTTCCCTGTGAAGATGAGATAATTATTGAGATTGTTGATTAGTTTTGGAGATTTTGATCGATTATGACAATTTGATTAATTTATACTTACCAGTGAACTTGAGTGACTACAAAGATAGAAATCGGATCCATCGTTTGTGGCAACGATTTTTTGATTAACCAAAGTGCCTGATGGGACATTTTTCGCTTTGCCATCGCTCTCTTCTTGGTTCTCAGGCTTAAGTCGAGTATGATGCCGCTTTTGTACAACTATTAGAGTAACGGATGGTCGATAAGACAGAGAGTGAAAGAGAGTGAAAGAGAGAGAGATAAAGAGAATAAAAAGAGAAAGAGAGAATAAAAAAAAGAGAAAGAGAGAATAAAAAAAAGAGAAAGAGAGAATAAAAAAAAGAGAAAGAGAGAATGAAAAAGAGAGAAAGAGAGAACGAAAGACATAATGAGAGAGAATGAAAGAGAGAAAGAGAATGATAAATACTGTCATCTTTGGATCGAGTAATGATGAACATGATAAGATGAGGAAGATCAATTTTTCTATCACGATATTGGTTGTAGATATTTTTCAGAACTTTTCTAACGGCGACATTATCATATCTGATCGAATGTCCACCTTCCCAATAAACTGGTTCTCCGATTTTAGCTCCTTTGTCTTCACCAAATGATTGTAGTTTGGAGACGAATTGGTTGATCAGACATGAACTTTGTTGAGTAAAATTGACGATAAACCAACGATGATTGGGAATATTGATTCCTTTGGAGATTTTCTTGTCTTTGATGCTCCATTTTCCAGATTCAGGAGTAAATGATTCACTTTTACACGATAATCTACGAAAGAGAGAAAAAATGAAAGAGAGAGAGAGAGAGAATCGGGGAGAGTAAGAATGAAAGAGAGATACTGATAATGGTGATCAATATTTGAACCAAGATATTGATAACCATCTGTCTCCATTGAATGAAAGTTTAACCAGTAACTCGTTCACAGCATTTGAATACAATTCAATTGACTTTATAATTATCTATTGATATAATATTATAATAGAAATCGTTTTATTTTTTTGTCAATTCTGTTTTCTTTTCACTCTTTGATATAATTGATCGCAATTAACTTAAATTGTGGTTTTTTTCGGGCTTCGTACTTTTCCATCGTGATCAATGTTGATTATCATTCAATAAGATTTCGTATTTTCCGAATTTTTGTCCATTCGGCTGATCAGCTGATCTTTCATTGTGAGGATTGTTTCTTACAAGGTAACCTTTTAATGAGCCACTTGACCAATTGGTCTTCTTGGGGTCAATTGGTCTCGACATGAAGGGTTATCGTATTGTAAAATTTTTCATTGTCTTTTTTTGTAGTAAAATTTGAATGAAACTAATAATGTCTACAACTAGATGATTGTAAACAAATTGGTCAATCTAATGAAAGAAAATGTTAATCTCTTCAAATTTTCTGGACAAAACTCAAAAGTCAAGGAACATTTTGGTTTCGTCGAGTGAGAAAAATGATCTGTACAAATTGCAGGATACAAAAAATAATAAACTAATCAACAATAGAACCAAAGTATAAGTTTAAAATCCTTGACAGTTAAATCGTTGAGGCGGTTCAACTTGTAATTCGTTGGCTATTGACAACAATTGAAAGAATAGCGACTTATCATCATCATCATAATCATCTTCTGACCCAAAGTATTATTATTATGAGGAATTTAGTTGTTTCACTTTGAAATACAAAATAGGACCAAGATGAGGGCCAGAAAAAAGTTCGCAAGAAAAAGTTGTTTAGCTACTTAGGGTTTACCTCGCACTTATCAAGATCGATGTGAGGCTTACTGTTACTTGTTGATTACTGGAGAATAGAATCTGAATCTGTAGAATTTTTATATCCACTAATCAACAGAATATGTCATAGGCATAAGACTGCCGAGAAATTTAAGATTCGCGCGAAGTAACAAAATGTTTCTCTTACCGTCACTAACTCCATCACGATAAAAGATCAATCTACCAGGAAGAATATCTTCAACATCACCATCATGTCGATTTTTGCTAATGTAATTCTTCATTAGCTCATATACCATATCGGGGAAATCTTGGATTATCTCGTCTTTCGATCGTGGTTGAAGTTTGACACTCGCTGAGTATTTGGTGTGATTTTTGTCGTAAGATGCGACACAAGCAGCGATTGAATAAGACATTTTGTCAGTAGGATGAGTCACATCAGCGCCCATGATGATAGTGGATTTAGAGCCAAGGATGCGAGAAAATGAAGCGTTGCTATCGATTATATTGTTGGTACCACCAAGTTTAGCATTCATCTTGAGGAAAATATTTGACAACATGAAAAAACCTTTATCATGGATCAGAGTTTTTAAATTAGATTCAACAACACACTGAGTATTGAATCCATACTCAACATCACCATATCTCTTGATTTCATGATAAATACTATCATCTTTAGATCGAGTAATGATGAACATGATAAGATGAGGAAGATCAATTTTTCTATCACGATATTGGTTGTAGATATTTTTCAGTACTTTTCTAACGGCGACATTATCATATCTGATCGAATGTCCAGCTTTCCAATAAACTGGTTCTCCGATTTTAGCTCCTTTGTCTTCACCAAATGATTGTAGTTTGGAGACGAATTGGTTGATTAAAGATGAACTTTGTTGAGTAAAATTGACGATAAACCAACGATGATTGGGAATATTGATTCCTTTGGAGATTTTCTTGTCTTTGATGCTCCATTTTCCAGATTCAGGAGTAAATGATTCACTTTTACACGATAATTTGGGAACATCTAAACAAAATCCTTCGACTTGAACTGGGCTATTGGAAAGATCGATACTGAATTCTCTAAGATAATCAACATTATCTTTTTTCACCATTTCAGCTGAATCATTGATCGATTTGAATCTATCGTCACAATCTTGGGCACAGGATTTGATGAAGTGAGTCAATTCTTGTTGATTTAAAGTCCGTGGTTGTTGTTTAGCGACCAATTGACAAACTTCCAAAGGTAAATACGAAGGTCGTTTAACATTTCCGACGATGGCACAAGGAAGATTCTTATAAGTAATCGGGAGAGAATATTTTTCCATGAAAAAATCAGCAACTGAAATGTTTCGATCTCCATGATCGGTGGTTTGGATGAAGAAAGTTTCACTTGGAAGTTCTGGTGAATCCTCTGAATTTGAACTTCATCTTTGTTGGTGTGTGATTCACTTCGATTGTTAAATTCATCAATTCTTTCTCAATCATCGATAAATTAGCTTCGATTCCTGGTTGATTAGGAACTAAACTGATGCTAACAAGTGGGTCCATGTTGCGAGGATTTCCACCTTTTCGAACAGTTTTCAGAATATTACGAATAAAGTCTATCAAGTCACAAGCCTTGTAAAAAACAGTTGAACTTTTATCGATGACCAAAGACAATCCACTCGCTGTCTTTCTGATGCTTTGATGATGACCACTGACAATATATTTTCCTTTACCAATGTCAACGAGCTTATTGTCCGTTGTCTCGAGTTTAGGAAAGACACAATTACCAAGAGGAATTTGGTAGGCTGATGGTCCACACCTTAGGATAATGTCCAAAGCACGAATAGCATCTTGAGGAACAACACTTGTTGATGAGTGAATTTTATTACCAAAATATTCTGATAATTTACTAAAATCAACTTCAGTTGCAAATCTAATACGAATCCGATAACCATGAGCTCCAACCTCTTCCAATTTCAGGTAATGGCAGGAAACATTATTCTTGTCGGTTCCAAGAGACGGAATCGGTCTAATTGTATACAGATTATGAGCTCCATCGAAAACAGGCCTCAAAAAGGTCATTCTCGAAGGTTCGTAGAAAAAACCACCTGCATTTTGTTCACGATGAATCAACTTCGCTATAACACTCCGTTGATATTCAGAATGAAGTTCTTGAGATTTTGGTGGACATTTTGAGGCACTTTTGATGAATTCACTTCCATTAAATTTTCCTCGCACAATTTTCACATCATAATGATACACTGAACACTTTGGAACATCAAGGTGATAGTGGTTGGTGATCAATTGAATCGCTCGATTAGAGGGCGATGATTGATTAAATCGAAATCAACACGTTGTTTTTTTGAGAACATTTTGAAAGAAACTTTGGTAGAAAATGAAAGAAAAGAAAAAGGAAAAGAATTGGAACAACTTTGTCACCTGTTGGAGCGAAAATGAAATTAAAATGGTCAAGACAATTTTTCTCTCGAAAACAATTGTTGAGTGTTAATCTTTTTATAGATAATCTCACAATCTATGATTAGATAAAGAGTTTAATCTTAATCAGCTTAATTGTTGTTCCAACAACATTATCGATAAAAAATCTAGAAAGGAATCAACATTTTCGATCGTTTATTTCATTAATTAAAATTCGTCTATTAATTGTACAATTCATCTTTGAATCACGAGCATTTGACGAAAATTAATTAACTTGAATTCATTGGATTATTTCGATTGATTTTTTTGATTTTCGAGAAAAAAATTAATTAAACTTAACTTATTCCACTTTTAGAATTTGCGCTTTTTCGTTGTCATGGTTACGCTTCGTTCAATTGAAAAGTGTTTTCTTGTTTTCGCTTATTTAGTTTTCTAAATTTTGGATTTTTTTTCATTTAATTTCGTTAAATTGTCTTCCATTAATTACTTTTTTTTTCGGTGATGGGTAATGATCAACATGTCGTTAACATGGTCCAGTATTTGCTCGTTGCAGATCAGAAAAAGTTACCAGTTAAAAGAGCGGGTAAGTGTTGGTATTTTGAACATGATGTTTTCTGTATCTCTTAATTTGTATCTTATTTTAATCCTTATTATGTGTTTTACAAATTCTATTTTCGTTTTTGTTTGATGACTAATTGTTTAGATATTGTTCGCCATTCGATACCCGACAATGCGAAGGAGTTTAATGAGATTTTCTCTGCTGCCAAAGCTGCTCTTCTAAATGTGTTTGGTTTAAAAGTTAAAGAAACACCGGAAAAAAATTGTTACATCTTAGTTACCGTGATAAGAGATGCTAATCTATGGAGACCTGAGATCACTAGTCAAATTGATCAAACTCATGGATTACTGATTCCAATTTTATCTGTGATTTTTATGAATGGAGGTGAAACTCGGGAAGGTAAGAAGATTATCACCTTTGCAACGAAAATGGATTTTTTCATTCTTTTTTCTTCTTTCAAAAGAAAATCTGTGGAAATTTCTAAGTAAAATGGGTCTTACATCGGAGACAAAGCTGACACATAATCATACGTCTATTACATTGAAAGATTTGTTACATTCGATTTGGCCTCGCCATTTGTATCTTGCCCGTGAAGATATTGGTAAAAACGAGAAGAAAGAGTACATGTTTTCATGGGGATTCCGAGCTGAACATGAGATAAATAAACTCGACCTGATCAAGTGGGTTTGTGAAGTTTACGGCGATGGATATGAACCTCATATGTTTAAAATTCAATATAAGAAAGCAGTTAATCATGATACAATGCTTAACTCATTAGACAAGGATTCTGGTGAAGAAGACGAATCAGAGCCTAATGAAACTGAATCAGAACAAGAAATTGACCTTTAAAGTTCCTGACAATAATAATTCATGACTTAATCTCTCAAAAAAAGGAAAATTTCTAACTTAGCCATGACAAATTCCAATTCTGAGAAAGTTCAATTCACTCAGATCAATCAAATTGATCAACATGATATATGCTCACACAATTGAAACAAATTTCATGAGATGCCGATTACTGGATTAACTGGATTAATACAAAGATTTTCATTATCATCATCATTTAATAACAAAAAAAATCCAATTGCTCATAATCAAAATCCATGAAAACTTTCCTTAAAAATAAAACTAAACGTTAACCAATTAACGAAAACTAAATGATTCTAAATACAATAACCAAACAATTTGAATCTATCATAACACAAAAAAAACGAAAATGATTGTAATTAAGAAAGAAAACCTGTAAAGTGATTAATCAATAAATTCAATTGAATTTGTTTACCAAAATGAACAAAAAAAGAGACAAAATTGTCTCACTTTCTGAAGATGAAAATTTTTTCTTTTCCAGATTAACTTACGATTCTCAGTAAGATTTAACTTAATCTTAATCTATTCTTGGATTAGCCTCTTTTTGTATTTTCTCCACAGTTTATCCAAATTTCTCATCATCATTCCTCTTCCTCTGCATCATCAGAATAGTTTTTCTCTCTCTCTCTCTCTTCCTCTCTCTTTCTTCATCTCTCTCTCTCTTTCCACCGCATGGATTATTGTTGTTGTCATCTTTTCCTTTCTCTCTCTCTCAATTCAGTCTTTTAAAAAGTCGCTTTTATATTCTTATTGTATTTTAACTAAATTTAGATAATGATTATCTAATTGTTACCACAATTCTCATTCTAAATAATTTGATTACAAGTTAATTTCTATTTGTTTTTCTTTTCTCAATTCGGTTAACCTTTTTTTCCCCATTGGTTTTTGGTAAACAGACTAACACATTATGGAGGAAGGACAAGTTACTACTCAAGCAAAAAAATCTTCAGCTTTACAAACCGATTTGGAAGCTCAAAAATTGGTAATTAATTAATTTAATTGTTCTCAAATGTTGTTGATTACATTTGATTCCATTTCAATCATTACCTTGGTGTTAAACTGTCTACTCTTTAGACTTTAATGTTCACCTTTTGTTTTCTTAATCTCTAATCTACTTATGGATCCATTTTTCTTTCTTATTCTTTGTTTATGTCTAATCTAATTTACTTTTAATTATTTGTATTAATCTCTCTTTTTTTCCTTCTTTGTTTTAGATGGTTAAAGTGATAATACTAATTATTGTTCTGTTTTGTATTTACTTTTAATATCTTTCTATCCTTTGGCTTTTTAGTTTCTCTCTAAATTGGAAGATGAATGTAAGAAAAATTTTCTCGATGACAAATCTCTTAATAAAACTCTCGGACAATATAAGAAAGCAGCGAATGAGTTAAAGAATTCAATTAACCATTTCCTGGATTCTAAATCTGTTTCTACTAATAATCCTGTTGGTAGATTAATTGACGAAGAGCTTAAAGAAAAGATTGACATGTTGGAATCAACATTAAAATCATCTGGAATAATCAAAGATAATCACAACAATTCTGCCAATGGATCTACTAGTCAAGTTACCGTTTCCACTGTTCCTGCTACTGTAGATTCAATTGTTACTGATAATCAAGAAAAATCATCTCAACAATCACCAACCCAATTGACATCTCAGAATATTGATTCTCAGCCCGTTGGTCAACAACAACAACAACAACAACAACAACCATCATCATCATCATCGTCATCATCACAACCTCAACAAGAAACATCTCAAACCCAAACAAATCAACCTCAACAATCAACACAATCTCAATCAACTGATAAAAAGAAATCAACAACGGTGAAAAAAGATGTTACCAAGAAATCTGATAAAGGTGAACCAGAATTGAAAGTTGATTCCTCAAAACCAGATACTAAAACCGATGCTACAATTAAACCCGATTCTACCACCGATTCAACAGCAAAGACAACAACATCACCACCGCCATCAATTTCTAGCAAATCTAATCAAGAAGCTAAAGGTCAGTTTTAATTGATTGATGATTTAATTTTTCTAAAATTTTCTTAATTTGTTATTCTCTTTTCTTTAATCCAATCTTTAGACTCCGAGAGTTTATCACCAGAAAGGAAGCCCAAAGCTGCTTTGAATAAGCGATCAGCTCATAAGGAAAAGAGTACAATGGATTATATTCTGAAGAATCTTAATTGTGATAACAATGAGCAAAATCAACTTAAACTATTATGCAAAATGTATATGGATCTTATGGAAGAAAACAAAGTTTTAGACAAAGGTAAACAATCAACTGGTAATTCTAATGGTCACTATTCTAATTTGTTGAATTTTCTTCAACTTTTTCGTTTTCCCCCTTAGGCAATAAGCAGCATGTTAAAACTTTCACTCGATTGAATAAAGAAAAGGAGCAACTTCAGTCTGAGAATAATCGTTTGATTCTTGCAAAGAGTAGACTTGAAAGTCTATGTCGAGAATTACAGAAACATAATAAAGCAATTAAAGAGGAGAGTTTATTGCGAGTTAAAGAGGAAGAGGAAAAACATCGCACCATGGCTGCCAAATTTCAAGCCACTTTAAGTGAGATAATGATTCTGGTTCAGGAGAGTCATCAACGGAATAATACACTGAGAGGAGAGAATATGCAATATGAGAAAAAATTGCGAATCTATTTGGAACATTATGGTAAATGGGAGAAAGAAATTGAGAAAATATTAGCATCGAAAGATTTGGAAATTCAATTAACCAAAACTAAATTAGCCGAAGCCAATTTAACTTCTGACCGAGAGAAGGAAAAATTAATTGAAGAAAATCAACAGATTCTCAATATGATGACAGATCTTCACAAGAAACATTCTGAATCGATTACCAATGAGAATCATTTGAAAGCTCAACTTTCGCTTTATATTGAAAAATATGATGAATTTCAGACTCTTTTAGCTAAAAGTAACGAAATGTTCAATGGATTTAAGAAAGATATGGATAAGATGAGCAAGCGAATTAAAGATTTGGAAAAGGAGATCAAAGGATGGAAAAAGAAATGTGATGATGCAAATCAAGCGTTAATTGTTGCTGATGAAGAGGTAAATTGAATCAGAATTTTGTTGTTATTTTCTTTTATAATACAATCGATTAATTTTCTTTCTTTCTTTTCCTATTATTAGCGAAAAACTTCAAAACAAAAGATACAAAAACTTGAGAATTTGTGTCGAGCCTTACAATCGGAAAGGAATCAACTTTCAGATCGATTGAAACAAACTCAGAATATTGAAAAGTTTCGAAAGAAAAATCAAATTCATTGGATTGTGGATCAAATGAAAATAGTGATAAATCGTTGGGCGATCATAAAGATGATAAATCTCAATCTACAATAAGTGATAATAATAATCCACCGATCGTTAATCAAGATCTCAATCCTTATGAGCTTTTATTATCTTCGACGAATCAGTGATCTCTCTCTCTCTCTCCCTCTTTTTAGAAATTAACACATTTAATTGAGAAAAAGGTCTAAATTTTCATCGTCATCCGCTTATTATATTCTCCTACTTTTTAATTATCACAATCAACGCGTGATTGTTAATTTAGTGTGAAAGAAACAAAATTTACATTTAATTTTAACTTCGAAAGACAAAATATTTCAATCATGTCTTTGATTAACTTTCTCCCTTCCCTTATCATCACCTTATCCTTTCCCGTACTTAATTAATTTAAAGAGAATAAATCTACTAACCAATAATGAATCACTTGTTACGTAATAAACACGTAACAAAAATAATTAATAAAACCAACAATTAACAATCTTAATCATAATTAAGCCTTAAAAATGAAAGCAAAGCTTTTAGTCAACATCGATGAGACAATAACATGAAATCAAGAATCTCTTTTTCTCCTCTCTTTATTATCTGTATTTTCTAGAATTCATATTCTCATTAAATGTTAATTATATTCGAAAATTTTCCTTCAACATTAATTTAATTTCCATTTCCATTTAATTGGTTAATTTTTGTTTTCGAGTTAAAAAGCGAAAAATTTATATTAACCGCTTCTTTTTTATTCTTTTCCTTTTCAGGCAACAGGTGGCGTTTTTTTCGATTGTCTCTCTGTTTGTATTTTCGGATCTTGAAAATTTTTGAGATTCTTAAATTATTATTAGAGATAATTAAACCTTAATGTTACAATTAAAGAGTTAATCATATCCCTTAAATCATGTCTATAATAATTAGATTACAAAATTTACCTTGGGAAGCCAATTCATTGGATATTCGTCGATATTTTCAAGGATTATCAATACCTGATGGTGGTGTTCATATTGTTGGAGGTGATAAGGGTGATGCTTTCATTGCCTTTTCGAGTGATGAAGATGCCAGACAAGCCATGGAAAGAGATGGTGGTCCAATTAAAGATTCAAGAGTTAAACTGTATTTAAGCAGTCGTAATGAGATGCAAAAGGTTATTGAACAGGCTCGTACTCAAACATTAGGAATCAAAGGAAATGACACTGGTCCGCCTACTGTTGGTGGTGGTGGATCTTCACATCTTATTGGTAAGCAAGTAAATCAACCTCCATCATCAGTATTACATCCACCTAATCACCATGGACCTGAACCAGTTGGACCACCAGGAATGGTTAATTATCCAACAATTTCAAATGTAACTAATCAACCAGGAAACTATGCTGAGGCTGATTTACATCGTCGATCAAGTGAAAGAGATATTTCTCGTGGCATAGGTGACAGGTCACGAAATAGGAGTAGAAGTAGATCTCCTCTTTATAGTAGAGGTGGTCCAGTTGGCGATCATCTTAATCATGCCCATCCTTCTTCAGGTCCCTACAATCATCGTATCCATGGTGGCCCTGGTGGAATGGGTCACATGGACGATTCTAGGGGTAAACCAGATTCTATACCAGGTTATGGTCAAGTTCCTGTGAGATCAGGTTTAGAGGGTCCACCGCCATCAAGGCCATCAGGCTATGGTGGCGGTTCTAATATAGCTTTAGGACCAAATAGTGGTCAGGATATCAGCTCAGGGCCTGGAGGTGGCGGTGGTTGGTTATCAAGAGAGAGTGATAATTTTGATAATCGTCCGAAAGCACCAGGAGGTGATCCTAGACTAGCTTCAGCTCAAGTTAAATCCTATGGTGAACCTCATCACCCTCATTTACCTCCTCCTTCCCATGGTGGACCTTCCCATGGTCCACCTCTTAATCATCAAAATTTTTCTGTTGAACTAAGAGGTTTATCATTTAACGTGGCTCCAAGAGATATTCAAGAATTTTTTCGACAAGTAGGTGTTTATCTTCATGAAGAGGCAATTAAGATACTTGTTGATGATCGAGGTTACACAACCGGCGGTGCAATTGTCCGGTGTGCAAATGTACGTGATTATGAGGCTGCTCTTGCGAAACATGGCTCATTTATGGGAGACAGAAGAATAGACGTAATGCCTTTGCCAGAAACTCTAAATGAAGATTTTACTCGTGGTCCCGGTGGTAATAATGGTCCACCGATTGGAATGGGCCATGGACCACAATCAATTCCCTCACCACCAATTGGAGGTAATGGTCAATCAACAGGTCGTCCACCGGCAGGTTATCAACCTTCACCTTCTCATGAACCTTTACCACCTCAACAAGATTATGTTATTTATATGAAAGGAATTCCCTACAATAGTTGTACAGAACCTGATGTGGCTGAATTTTTTTCTGGTCTTCGATTTATTGATATTGTTTTTGAAATTGATGGACGAACTGGTAAACCGGCGGGAAATGCATTTGTTGAATTTGCAACAAATGAAGATTTCAATTCAGCTCTCGATATGAATATGAAACACATGGGTAGAAGATACATTGAAGTTTTCCCTACGACAAAAGATGACATGAATGATGCTCGAATGCTTCAGGATCGAAGCAGTGGTGGCGGTGGTCATTTACCTCCAGGTAGAGGTGGAGGTGGAACAAGTTCTGGCAGCGGTTCAGGAGGGCCAACTTTCTGTGTTTCAGTAACTAATTTACCACCGACCATAACAAATCGTGATCTAACCAATTATTTCAGTGAAATTGGTGCTCAACCATTTGCTATTCACATTATGCTTAAGGCTAATGGTTTAAATGCCGGTGAAGCATTTGTTGAGTTTTCAAGTAAAGATCAACAAATGAAAGCAGTTCGTAAAGATGGTACGTTTATGGAGGGTCAAAGAATATCAGTTCGATCAGTACCTCATGATCTGATGAGAAGAGTAGTGGGTATTCCACCTCCTGGAGGTCATGGTCCACCGGGAGCACCGATGAATAATGGCGGAATGGATGGACCCATGAGACATGGCGGCAACGGTGGCGGCGGCGGCGGCGGTGGAAACGGCACTGGTGGACCAATGTTCCCTCATGGAGATATGGGCGGTGATCCAAGGAAAATGAGACGAGGCGGTCGAGAAGACGGTTTTCGAGGACGACGCGGAGAAAAGGACGGACGACGCGGTGGCAACGATGGACCTCACCAAGGAGGAAATTATAACAGCTTTGCTGACCATCGGTGTGTTGTGATTGCTTCGAATATACCTTACAAGGCTACCAATGAGGATATTTGTGTCTTTTTTGCAGACTTCGATATTAAACATGATCGTATTACCCGACGGTTAAATGACAAAGGCCAGGCCACGGCGGATTGTAGCGTTGAATTTAGGACTCCAGAAGATGCAGCCAAAGCTGTTAGGACGATGCATAAAAAGTTTCTTATTGGTCGACCGGTTTTCCTCCGACTTGCTTCCTGATACTAACTTTCCCGTTGATTTCAAGTCATAAAAGTTTCGTCTCTTTTTTTATATTTAATAATTAATAATTTCCTCCACTCTCTTAATCCTCACCCCTACCCACTTGTCCAAATCAAATCTTTATATACACTACTGTTTATCATTTGTTTATATTGTTTTTTTTCTCTCTCTCTTTTTGTTTCGTCTCTATTTGTCTATCCACTTCAGCATCTCATCATTGGTCATCTTAAAAAAGTTTAATTTCTTGGCAATTTGAACTTTTTAATGGTCACTCTAATGCGCGTCACTATCTCAGTCTATCTTTTTTGCTTCTCTCTGCCAGTCACTTATACATAAACAATTACATTTCAACGCCATGATCATGTTGTCAATTGTCATCTTATCCATGTTTTCATCCTGTTTGTCATCAGCCATCATCTTTCATCCTTCATCTTCACAATTATCATCATACTCTCATCATTTATCAACTTAACTCATCGAAAGTTATGAGTTTTCTTTCAAAGAATTTGATCCAAAGCGAAACAAATACAAAGACCTATTCTTTCATTATTTTTACTCTTTCTTTCTTTCTCTCTCAATTTCTATTATCTAGTTGATTAGCTTTTCCTCCGGATTAATTGTTTCTCCCTTTAAATGGCTACACACATAAACGAATTAACTGAATAGCCACAAATCAACATCTTTACTAAATTCCAATTAATTCTAAATTATCTTCTTTCTCTTTTTTTCTTTGCCAATCTTTTTCATTCTACTTCCTAAAAAACCATTCAAAAAGATTGGAAGAATCAAAAGAAATGTAAATTCTTGTAACTTCTTAATTGCTTCAATTCCAATGAGTTAAAACAAAATTTTCTCCTTTCTATTTGATTGTCTTTCTCTCGGATCAATCATTTACAATTAATTCACCTAATCGATTGTTTCATAGTCAAAATATGCTTGGAAGAAAAAGACAAAAATTGATTACCATTATTTAAAACCATTGGAACAATTAACTTATTGCCAACTATTAATTTAGTTACAAATGATTAAGAGACTTAAAATTTTTCATTTACAAAATTATTCCATAGTTAATTAAAATCGAATCGACATAAATCGATAACTTAATAATGTGTATTCCCTTTTTGACTCTTGTAATATAATTTTAAATTAAAACAAAGATTTTTTTCGATAAAAAATTCAAATTAACAAGAAAATGACTTTAAATTTACAATTTAAGTACAATTTGACTGGAGAGTTGTTATTGATTGTTTCAAGGTTAAAATATGATTGGAAGACTTGAATTGAGAGTTAAATGAAATAAAAGTTGATCATAAGTCGATGGTGAATTTGGATGGACTTTTCTACTTGTTTCCGTTCGTAGTCTGGGTCACTTGTTGATTCTCTCCTGTCGTCGATTCGTTCGGTGTTTATTAAATGTTGACGAGCTCGAAAAGCGGCCAAATGAGCATATTGAACGGGCGCTGGAATACTAATAACTCGAGTACATTTAACGTAAATGTGACAAAGATGAAAAGTCAACAGGTAGAGATCATTGAGTTGGAAATTGTTCTCGTCAATTAAAATGTGATAATGACTTGGCTTTGATGTTCCCTGTGAAGGTAATTATTGAGATTATTTGATCTATTGTGACAATTTGATTAATTTATACTTACCAATGAACTTGAGTGACTACAAAGATAGAAATCGGATCCATCGTTTGTGGCAACGATTTTTTGATTAACCAAAGTTCCTGATGGGACATTTTTCGCTTTGCCATCGCTCTCTTCTTGGTTCTCAGGCTTAAGTCGAGTGTGATGCCGCTTTTGTACAACTATTAGAGTAACGGATGGTCGATAAGTAGACTTTAAATTGTACTTTCTCATTAATCTATCAAATGCCTCGGGCATTCTTCCGATCTCTTTTTCCAATACCATTGAAAATTGACCTGATGGATTAAAATGTATAAATGATAACGAGTTTAAGATGTTGCATAGAACGAATTAAAGAAATACTGAGATTCAAGCAAAGCACAAAAGGTTTCTCTTACCGTCACTAACTCCATCACGATAAAAGATCAATCTACCAGGAAGAATATCTTCAACATCACCATCGTGTCGATTTTTGCTAATGTAATTCTTCATCAGCTCATATACCATATCGGGGAAATCTTGGATTATCTCGTCTTTTGATCGTGGTTGAAGTTTGACACTCGCTGAGTATTTGGTGTGATTTTTGTCGTAAGATGCGACACAAGCAGCGATTGAATAAGACATTTTGTCAGTAGGATGAGTCACATCAGCGCCCATGATGATAGTGGATTTAGAGCCAAGGATGCGAGAAACTGAATCGTCGTTATCGATGATGTTGTTGGTACCACCGAGTTTAGCATTCATCTTGAGGAAAATATTGGATAGTATGAAAAACCCTTTATCGTTGATTGAAATTTTTAAATTAGATTCAACAACACACTGAGTATTGAACCCATACTCAACATCACCATATCTCTTGATTTCATGATAAATACTATCATCTTTAGATCGAGTAATGATGAACATGATTAGATGAGGAAGATCAATTTTTCTATCGCGATATTGGTTGTAGATATTTTTCAGAACTTTTCTAACGGCGACATTATCATATCTGATCGAATGTCCACCTTCCCAATAAACTGGTTCTCCGATTTGAGCTCCTTTGTCTTCACCAAATGATTGTAGTTTGGAGACGAATTGGTTGATTAAAGATGAACTTTGTTGAGTAAAATTGACAATAAACCAACGATGATTGGGAATGTTGATTCCTTTGGAGATTTTCTTGTCTTTGATGCTCCATTTTCCAGATTCAGGAGTAAATGATTCACTTTTACACGATAATTTGGGAACATCTAAACAAAATCCTTCGACTTGAACTGGGCTATTGGAAAGATCGATACTGAATTCTCTAAGATAATCAACATTATCTTTTTTCACCATTTCGGCAGAGTCATTGATCGATTTGAATCTATCGTCACAATCTTGAGCACAGGATTTGATGAAGTGAGTCAATTCTTGTTGATTTAAAGTCCGTGGTTGTTGTTTAGCGACCAATTGACAAACTTCCAAAGGTAAATACGAAGGTCGTTTAACATTTCCGACGATGGCACAAGGAAGATTCTTATAAGTAATCGGGAGAGAATATTTTTCCATGAAAAAATCAGCAACTGAAATGTTTCGATCTCCATGATCGGTGGTTTGGATGAAGAAAGTTTCACTTGGAGAAGTTCTGGTTAATCCTCTGAACTTGAACTTCATCTTTGTTGGTGTGTGATTCACTTCAATTGTTAAATTCATCAATTCTTTCTCAATCATCGATAAATTAGCTTCGATTCCTGGTTGATTAGGAACTAAACTGATGCAAACAAGTGGATCGATGTTTCGAGTATTATTATTAGTACTTCCTTTTCGAACTGGAACAGTTTTCACAATATTACGAACAAAGTCGATTAAGTCACAAGCCTTGTAGAAAACAGTTGAACTTTTATCGATGACCAAAGACAATCCACTCGCTGTTTTCCTTATACTTTGATGATGACCACTAACTATGTATTTACCTTTGCCAATATCAACAAGTTTCTTTTCCGTTGTCTCGAGTTTAGGAAATACACAATTACCAAGAGGAATTTGGTAGGCTGATGGTCCACACCTTAGGATAATGTCCAAAGCACGAATAGCATCTTGGGGAACAGGACTTGTTGATGAGTGAATTTTATTACCAAAATATTCTGATAATTTACTAAAATCAACTTCAGTTGCAAACCTAATACGAATCCGATAGCCATGAGCTCCAACCTCTTCTAATTTGAGATAATGACATGAAACATTATTCTTCGTAGTTCCAAGAGACGGAATCGGTCTAATTGTGTACAGATTATGAGCTCCATCGAAAACAGGCCTCAAAAAGGTCATTCTCGAAGGTTCGAAGAAAAAACCCCCAACATTTTGTTCACGATGAACCAATTTTGCTATAACACTACGTTGATATTCAGAATGAAGTTCTTGAGATTTTGGTGGGCATTTTGTAACATACTCAATGAATTGTTCCCCTTGAAACTTTCCTTTGTCAATTTTAACATCGTAATGATACACTAAACACTTTGGAATATCAAGATGATAATGATTACTAGTCAAATTTATTGTCCTATTAGAAGGTGACAATTGTTTTGAACAATCATCAATCCTTTTCTTCTTAGTTAACATCGTTAACTTGATTTTCCTTAATGTAATGTTATGTAAACAAAAGCTGTAACCATGACAACGAAGAAACCGGCAAATTTAAATCTATCAAGAAATGAATCAAATAGAACCTTGAGAGAAAGTTGTAACCCCCTTGAGACCAATATTCTTGAGAAAAGAAAAAGTTTAGAGGTCATTTCTGAAAACTAGAGCATTTAATCATCAACAAGATTCACAATGACTATTAACATAAGTATTTTCGAACTCATGAGAACGATATTTTTGGAGCTCTCAATCTGTACATTATCAGGCTGACCCTATCTCTTGGAACCAACAAGAACGATTTGCTATGTCATTAGCTGAAATCACCAAAAAGTGGCCTGAGTATCATTCCTCGAGACGCTTTTCGTACTCTGGATATCATCCTGAAATATGCAGTTTACTCGCGAGATTGTCTCAAGTGACTTTTAAACATCTTTTCCGACAAATGACCGGAACAACATTTAAGCTTTTGCCTCAGGTTTTTCATTTCCTTTAATTCAAACGTATGGGTTTTGTACATTACCTGATTTACAGGTTATATTAGTAAGAAAAAGATCGGAAATAAATCGAAAAGTCTTTTATTTTTGTTGAACAGAATTGATTGAATTTTATTCACTTGAATTTCCGTTAATTGTTAACTCATAGCGTCTTTCCAAATGGTACAAACGTTGTTTAATCTTCTTCTGAGCTGCTGAATATTCAGCTAAAAGTCTCGCGAATCGAGTAGTTAATGTATCAATATTAGACTCTAACCGAACACAGCGATCTTCTAATCTTTCTCGTTCCCTTTGACCTCGTTTCAATGCATCTTCATCAAGTAGACCATCTTTAAGTAATATTTGTTTCCCTCTTTCAATTAGCATCTCTTTAGCCTCCGGGTATTCCTCCAATACCTCCCAAAGATCTTGTTTAGAGAGAACAAAACAATCCGAATAACCAACGGACCGAACATTGGCTGTCCGTCTATTACCAGTCTTATTACCACGAATATTCAAAATGGACAGTTCACCAAAAACGGAGCCATCGCTTAAAGTGACCAGAATCGTTTTACCGTCATCACCGACAACCGATAAACGGCCTCGTTTAACAATATACATTTCCTTTCCAACGTCACCCTTACGACAGATAAAATCTCCTGGACTGAATACTTGAAGGCGCAATTTAAGTACCAATTGAGCTAATAGACCAGATTCACAGTCTTGGAACAATTTAACCTATTGAACAATTTAGAACAGAAAAAAAAGGAATCGATTCTGATTAAATTTGATTGGAACAATTTGAATCAACTAGAAAATCGTAATAACCTTTTTCAATGTATCTAAATGAATATGCATCGCAATCTCTGCTCGTAGTTTATCAGGTAAGATCGAAATGACCGCTTCCTCGTCGAGTGATTGTTTATTTGACCATAAATAGTCGAACCACTTGATGACCCGTTTCTCAAGTTCTTTTGAAACTTTTCTGAATTCCATGTACTGTTTAATTGCGTCCATTCGAGACTGAAATTCAGCTCTAGATGCGTTCATATTGGTTATCATGGAACCCACATTACCCACAATGGTGGCAAAAATAAGGACACCGATTAAAAAGTCAAAGATGACAAAAATATATTCCTCATCTCGAGTAGGAACCGGAACTTCACCGATGGCAGTTAAGGTCAAGGTTGACCAATAGAAACAGTAAACATATTGTTGAAAAAATCCTTCACCAGTATTGTTCATACTGTAAACCCAACGGTCAGTATCGAAGCCTAATCATGACAAGTTGGACAATCAATCAAATAAAAACAAGATGAGAAAGACAAAAAAAAAATAATCAATCATAATTATGAAGACAAAATAAATTGTCCTCCAACTAGATAAACAATTAGCACATTTAATGACAATCAACTTGATAATCAAAGGTAAAAATAATCGTAATGATTAAGGTTAGCAAGTCTAATCAATTATTGTCACAATTAATCAACAACTTTCTCTTACTTATATCTATCAATTAGATGATAACATCTTGATTGCTTGAGGATAAACAAGATTATTAAAAAAAAAGGTTAAATTAATGATTAGAATCATAGTTAGTTGATTGTTAATTGTTCACCAATTAAAAAATATGACAACAAAATGTGAATTGATTTGTTTTATTCACAATAATAATCGAGACGCAATAGTAACTTTTGATTGTATTTTCCTTTTGGGAATCAAGTTAATTGTCTTTCACCTTTTTTTTTCTTTAATTAGTTAACTAATTAGTTGATTAATTACCTATAAAACTTGACATAGCGAAATAGAAGCAAGCATTCCAGTGGATTACAACCAGAATGATAAAGATTAATTTACATATTCGAAAGGCATTTGGAAAATTAGTTCGAGTTTCGGTTCGATCGAAACATTCAATTAGACGATGTAATTTAAATAGACGATTAAGACGGACAATTACTGGACAAGGTATGTGTCCATCTTGACAGTTGACCCCAGTGATTAAGTAGAACAGGTCACTTGGTATTAACGAGATTAAATCTAATTTTAATGTTGGACTCGTAACATAATTAACCAACAATTTATCAAGATCACGAACCAGTAAACCCTGTTCCAAGTAACCTAAAGGGTTAATCAAAGTGAAATCAATTAATCAATCAATCAAATAGTGGAAACAAAATTCAATCAATTTTAATCACAACCAAATCAATCAAATTGTTTACTTTTTTGCCACTGATAAATTAAATTGTCGCTGAATGAATTGAATAATATTTAAACTGAATCAATATTAATCATATTAATATATTTACAATTCAATGAAATTATACAAAATTGATTAAATTTGAAAATAAATTATGTCAATAATGTTGAAACAATCAAATTAAATATAAATCAATAATTATTACAATTGATTTTGTATAATCTTTGATTGTGATTGTAAATTAACAATTAAAGGTTAGTCAATGATACAATTTAATTGTTTTATCACCACAGGTTATATTAGAAAGGTTAATTCAATGTTAATCAATGTTAATTGGCAATTTGTTTTAATCAATAAACTAACAATTAAATGAAAGAAAATTTCATTGCAAATGTTTGTATAGTAATTAAACTGCCATGTGAGTTTACAATAAATGTTTACAAGTAATTAAATCTAATTGAATTAGGATTTCCAATCAACATTAAAGGTTAATTATCTGTCCCTTGTGTGAAACAATTAGTAAATTTCCTATCAGAACAATTGATAAAAGTAAATGGTTAACAATGAAGAAGGACAAATATCATGATAATAATAGGAAAACATGATAAATTTAAGTGATTCAAGTTTAAAAATCAATTGAATGATTTCACCATCAGAATTATTATCTGATTATCATGTTGATTTTTTACTTAACATTCAAAGGATATAACAACGATTCTCATGGTAGTATATGAGTCATTTTTATCATGACAAACATGGTGAAGTAAATAAATATACACACAGAATCTGAATCATTTGAACAAGATTGTAAATTGAAGTTTGTTGTCTCAGCTTATGTGAAAAGATTCAAAATGGATTTCCGGTGATGCGGAAATATAAATGAGAGAGAGAGAGGAAAATGAAGATGAGGATGAGGATGAAACAATGTTTTTCAGGGAAACAGATATTATTATGCCCTGGAAAAGACGATGAAGATGAAAAGTAAGCCCTTGAAGGTTAATGTTATTTAGTTTAATCTTGTTTAATGTTGAAGATTGTAACCGGAGAAGGAAATAGAAAACTCAGAGGGAGAGAGACTGAGAGAGTGGAAAAGGATGGGTAAGTAGGTGTAGTGGGTGGTGGTGGTGATGATGATGATAGAAATGAGAATATTACAATTGAAAGAAGAAGAAAATCCTTGAATGATTCGTATCCATGGTTACCCAATAAGATGCTGAACCATTTTCCATCCAATAGACTTTATATAAATAACACTGTCATATTGTTCAATTGAGGCTGTTTGTAAATCCATCTTTTTTTGCTTCATGTCATTTGAATGTCAACCATGATTGTGGTTTAAGGATTAAGTTGCTTTATAGCTTGAAACAGTCAGATAATCACGATGAATTTACATGAAATTCTGATCAGATTAATATTGTTAATATTCAATTGTGGTTTTATCTTTGACATGTAATCATTTATTACCTAACAAGAGAAAAAGTTTTTACACCTTGATTATTATCCTTGATTCTCTCTCTTTCATTCTCATTGATTAATTAACTATTCAATATAATCCAACCATCATCCTAATGGTTAATTAGTTTTAATTGGTTTTAATTGTTATCCCAAATCAAATTAATTTACAGTTTGTTTTGATTGCTGATAGAATACCCTTAGAGTTGGACATTTATATTATCAGTTTTTGTATAACTATCATTGAGAAACAATCAACCGATAAGATAATGACAATTAAAAGATTAAGGGTATTATGTTAACTATTATGGGTTAATCTAATCACTACTTTTGGATAGCAATTAATTGATTGATTTTATTATTAAACAGGCAGCTAATTGTCTTTGACAGTAACAATTAACTTTGGTTATTACCTTGTGACATGAAGTTTGATGTAATTTTAATGGTGCCATCATAATCAGATGATGATCAAATTGATTCAACTAATTTACTGGATTAGTGAGTGAAAAAATTACATAATCGACTTGATCAATTGTAAAGAAAAAAGTTGTAAAAAAGTTTCGATTGATTGTTTCGAACTTTTTTCCTCTCTCTTTATCCAATTTTACTTTCCAAATAGACTATTAATCTGTATTAATCTTGTTGGAGATTAAGATGAAGATAATCTGATTACCATGAAAATGAATAAAAATATTCATATTGATATTGATTGAATCGAGTGAAAATTTTGAAAAGTTAAAAAAAATTCATTCAATGTTTTGATCAATCAATTTGGATACATTGATCAAAGTGAAACAATTTAAAGTCTAAACTTGATTAATTGATTTTTCAATAGGATTCAAGTGAACAATTTATTATTATCATGATCATGATAAGTTGAGGGAGGGAGGAAATTGAACCAGAATGATGAGTAAATCAAGAGGATGACAAATTGACTAAATGCTCTCACCAGAAATCAATTTATCTGAAAGATGATGATGTAAATAATGAAGCAAATGACAATGATGATTAAAATGATGATCAGGATGATGATCATTTTCATTTCATATCACCTTTTCATCATTTTGAGTAATATAACTTTTTTTTCACTGGCACTTGAATAATAAATAATGTATATTATCATCATACACAATTACTCAGTCACAACAGTTAACATCATCTTCATCCTTCATCATCCTTATTAAATTTCAATACAAGTAAAAAATGTAATATTTTTTTCTCATTCAATTGAATAATAAAATTGGAAGACACAATTTCCATGTTTCATATTCATTCGGTGAATATTATTGTTATCATTACATGATATTTAGACCAAGAACTTTTTCTCATCCTTTTTGAATATTTTTCATCATCTTCTTCCTCTTTTTAGGCTCATCAGAGAGAGAGAGAGAGAGAGAGAGAGAGACTGAGGCTAAGTGGAATGAAGATACTTACGGATGAACATTTTATATGGAAAAAAATATTCGTTGACAAGATGAAATTTCCAAGTGAATTCATGAGAAGATGGAAAAGTTTTTTTTTCTCTTCCTCTAATACTTAAAGTCGATGTTCAGGATGAAGAAAAGGAAGAGAATATCTTCCTGAGATGAAGGAGAAAAGAAAAAGATGATTGACGAATTCAAAGTTATCGTTCCTATTCAGCTCATTCATTTTGATTTATATTCGTTGATACTTTCAGATTATTCTGATCATATTCATAGTGATATTATTAGACTATCCATCAATGAGAAAAGATGATGAGAGAAAGTCTTGATCGTCGTTTGTGTGAGCAAAAGGGAAACATGAGCAACATGGAAGAGAAAATCATGTTTAAAGGAAAATTCTCTTATTCCTTCTAAATCTTGATCTTCCATGAAAAGTGTCATGTAAACATTGAATCAAATCATCTGATAAACATATACAATGTCAATGATTCATGAATGATCCTTTACCTGGAATAAATAAAAGGTTAAAACATTGACATAAACATATCGCAAGTAACAATGGGATAAAATTATCGATATCATGAGTTGGAATATACACTAAAATTGATCAACAACAATCAAAGATTATCGGTCATAGATCGTATTGATCGGCATTCACAAGAAAATATGATAATAACCAAACAGAAAAGATAACTCATATTAGTCCAAGGAATCCAATCATCATCATCATCATCATCATGATAATAATGATATAATAAGCCGATGATACTGATGATGATTATCATTATAAAGATAACAAGCTAAGAGTAATTTATTTAGCTGAATAAATTATCTCAACAGTAATCAAAGAAAATGTTTATTTCTCCAAGTTCATTCATTGGGTCAATAGAATACATAACTTTTATATAAATGGAATTACTATTCGGACAAAAATATAAGAACCATAAATTTCCGCTTCTTAATTTATCGTTTTCTACCCTCATCTATTAATATTTACTATTCTAAATATAATCTTTTTCCACCTCCATGTAATATCACCAATCATTATCATCTCCTCATATTTACCTTCAAATGATCAAAAATTTTCTAACCACTTCCAATGTATCGAGTGTTATTATTTTCATACTCAAAAAATTGACATCATTTTGTTGTTTATCCTTAAGCTCAACATATTAGCTCTCTATCATCATCGTCATCATCATTATAATCATATCCCCTTTGCTCATCTATTTGTCATCCTCATCAACCAGATAACATAAAATGAATAAACTCTCATGGGAATATCATCATATTCATTTTGACCCAGATAACCAACATTGTCTCAACCAATAAATGTTGTATCACAATCTAAATCCATGTGGATAAATAATAGATTGATCAAGTTATGATCAGACCAAAAGAACGAAAGAAAAGTTCTGAACTAAATTCAATGCCGATAAACATGATGATAAGTAAAAATATTAGACGAAATTCATATGCAATTACATTCGTTCTATTAATATTTCTAATGATACAGATTCCAATTCTCTTTTACTTAACAGCTTATCCTCGGTGGGAGTTAATTTCTGAGGGATACCCATGATAATGAACAGTTTTCCACCATCAGCATCACCAACACCATCATGGAACATAATCTAAGTCTCCCATCTTATGATAAGAACTTTCCCCCCCTCACATTCATGGTAATATATATTATCTGCTTCGATTAAGTTAATTTCATGGTGAATCTACATGAATTCATATTATCACTCATTCACCTTATCATCTTCAACCCCTCCCTGTAAATAACAATGTTTATGTTACCATTAATACATATTGATTTTATATATCATTTCAACTGTCACCTCGAATCCATTATCATCTAAATACACATATTATCACATGATGAATATAAGTGACATATATTTATCTCTCATCTTTCAATGATAATTATTTTCTTCACCATCACCATGGTGAGTAAATGTAACTTGATTAATAATTTTCCCTCACTTGAAAGTTCAGTGAAACTTTTCTCCCTTCAAAATTCATTATTATTTTTATCATTA